CCGAGGGGCGCTCGCCGCAGTCGTTCTGCGTTTGCAAAGGCAGCCGGTTGGGTATTTAGGAGCGAGGTCGGTGCGGTGAGAGTTGCCGTAGCCTTCGGGATCGTCTCGGGTACTTGGGCGCGTGCCACTGACGTGCACGCGTGGATCTTCCCAGGCCACCCGCTCCGCGCGCTGCCCTTGTACTTGGGCGCCTTCCCCCTGGTATCCTCATTTGCTGTCGGGAACTGGAGCAGCTCAGCGTACTTACAGAGGGTCAAAGGGGTTTTTCGTCCTGGCAGCGATCGCCAGCGTGTAATTTCGTCCTCACCTAGAAGCCGGTCTTCAGAGAGGAGAGGTGACCTGAGGGCCCGTTCAGGAATCGGCTGGGGGGTGGCGCAGGCAGAGGTGTGCTGTGACTTTGTGACCCCTTAGGTTTTATTACACTGCCGTGAGCTGGGTTTTAATATTTTTGTCCCCCACCATTCCCTGCGATCCGGCTACTTCATCCCATAAATACGAGGTCTGTCTTCTGTACGGCACCCGCCTGTTCGCCACGTTCTGGTGGCCGCTGGATTTGACGTTATGACATTGATGTTCTTCAGCAGCTCCTGGCTTTTAAGGTTTTTTTTGTCGGTATCCTCGTCTTTGTGCGGTGGCCTTTTGTACTCTTTCGTGCCGCCAATAAAAAGCCATCACAAAACACCTGCTCACTTTCAAAAATGAGCTGTAACTTTTTATTTCTTCTAGACATGTTTGTTTTTCCTAGGGAGCATATTATAAAGCAACTCTGAAAACAGAAAAGATCCGCTGATGTTTTAAAAACTGCAGGTATGTGTGCAGTTACAATGAATGAGGTAGTGCTGCAAAACGTGAACGCTTGTCTCCAGTGCCTTAAAATAACGTTGATTTGAAATTAAAGGAACTCGTTAGTCTTGTCAGAGGTTCCTATCTTTAGCATCAATGTTTTTGAGTTTGACGTTGAGCGTCAGTAATTTCTTCTACAGCACGGTTTTGGCAAATGCAAAACTGCGTCCCTGTTTTTCAGTCTTTCCTGGGTCAGTCAAAACGCGGTACAGTCCTTCAGCTTAACTCCTCCCCTTTCGGGGAAAGGGAAACTAATCCTTCACTTGAGTTTCATTTCACCGACTCATCCATATTCTTAGAATATACATAGGCAGATGAAGCTTTCTAATTAATACACTTTTAAAGGAGTTTAATATTAAACTTCAAATCTTTCAATAAGCATTAAGATATTAAAATAACCTCCCTTTTTAAAAAAAAGTAAAATAAATTCTGTGCAACGTAGTATTCCAAACACTCACGACTTCCTACAAAAATACACGCTCTGCACTTCGCAAACAAAACCAAGGCTGAAACACAGCGGATGGGCACGCCCGTGCGCGTCTGCGTCTTCACGGAGTTCACTACGCCCGTGCGCGTCTGCACCTTCACGGAGTTCACTACGCCCGTGCGCGTCTGCACCTTCACGGAGTTCACTACGCCCGTGCGTGTCTGCGTCTTCACGGAGTTCACTACGCCCGTGCACGTCTGCACCTTCACGGAGTTCACTACGCCCGTGCGCGTCTGCGTCTTCACGGAGTTCACTACGCCCGTGCGTGTCTGCGTCTTCACGGAGTTCACTACGCCCGTGCGTGTCTGCGTCTTCACGGAGTTCACTACGCCCGTGCGCGTCTGCACCTTCACGGAGTTCACTGCGGGGAATGTAGTTAGGCCTCAGCTGTGCAGGTAGGTCTGTGAAAGGTCACGGGCATTTTAGGCAGAATAGCTGTAATACTTAAAGGAGGAGGCAGGGATTTCCTTTGAAGTGTTCTGCATTGTTTGAGGGCACGCTGTCAATTTTCTTTTGTACGCGGCTGGAGTTCTGGTTTTGTTCACGAGTTTTAATGCCTCCAGAACATTCAGATGATTCTTTTTGAATGTGTTTGTTCTTCAGATATTTTTTTTTTTTCTTAGAGCAACTGGATTGTGACAACTGTAAAAGCAAGGACCATTTTTTCACTCCAGTGAGTGGACTTCTTGAACTTTGCCTTACCGGCCCCTGGAATATTGTTCTGCATCTTTGAAGAGGAGTTCTTCCGTCAGTGATGAATGTGTAGTCACCTCTGTCTGACAGTGCCTGAAAAATTTTTAAGGGCAGTGAGAATGTACAAAAAGAAACAGTAAATCTTCTGCTATCCGTTTATGCCTTTACAACCTGCCAAAGGCACGAATCGGTTTGCAAAACTAGTTCAGTTCTGTTTATATTACACTAATACTCATTCTTCTCCCCTCAGCCTAGATGGTTTACTTTATGTCTGAAGTTTTTATTCAATACTGAGGTTAGAGGTTTTTATTATTATTTTCACTACGCGCTTTCAAAACCAACTTAAAATTCTACTTTTATCTTTGCATTTCACTTGTGTCTCTGCAAATACCCCATATTTGCGGTTTGAAATTCCTGCAGGGGTGTCTTTTCAGCTCTTTTGCATTTTGGTGCTTTTAGCTTCTAAGAGCGAGCATTGAAAATTTGGGGGTTTGTGCTCATTTTAAAAAGGTTACCTCTGCTGTAATGTGTGGGGGTTCATGTTCCGCTGCTCAGAGCCGTGTTTTAATAACAAGCCCTGTAGTTCTGCCTTCTAACTCTTCATCAACAAAAGGTTTTGATCACTCTTCTGGGATTCTGTCGTCTTTCTCATTCCTGTGTCTTGTTCACAATCCGCTTGGTCTTTCATCCCTTTGGGTTGCAGCTGGTTTCTGGTTTTCAGCCAAATATTGTTCGTGTTACCCTCTCCTGGCTTTGTTCTCTGCTTTCCTCACGCTCTTTGCACCGCGATGCATGTTCTGACTGATGCGTTGCAGGTTTGGAGGGAGAGACCCGCTTAAGATTGCCTATCAGTGTCGTGAGAAATAAGGGGGGTTGATTTATGTGTGCGAGTTTCAGTCTCGCGCTCTAGTTTGTCTTTCTAACCTGGAAAGAAAGGGAAGGTTATGTTTCTGCGTGGCTTAAATAGAAGTTTATAGAGACCCAGGAAAAACACCTGCTTGGAGGGAGGGCTGAGTGTTGCTCTCTTTGCTTCCCCGTCTTGCTCTCTTTAACGCTGCTCCCCAGAATGCCTCTCTCCTGGATCTAGCTTCTCCCTAGACAAGCCCCGCAGCACCTTGCACCATTGCGTTGCATCTGTCTCTCTATCTACGCTTACTCTTCAGCAAACCAGTTCTTTTTCAAAATTGGAGCCAGTCTACTGTTAGCCTGTCCCACCTGGCTGCGTTAAAGGATGTTATTTTAGAGCCTTAACTGTAAAGAATATCTGGAAATTGATTCTTCTGTAACTGGGAAGAAAATTTTCATTAATTCCACGTGTATCAGAATTTCATCCTTGGAGTTCAAAAGTTATAGTCAAAAGCATGGATGAATTTCAAAGTGCTAAACCCCAGTCTCTGCTTACATCTTGAACTGGATAATACTGATCTATTCTGGCTGAACGTACCTCTTAGTCTTGTGTGCGCAGCCACTTATTTTTTTTTTTTCCAAACGTTAGCTGTGCAGCAAAGGTTTTTGTAGTTGCGTGCATTTCTGCAGTCTGGGTAGATTCTGGGGCTGGACACCAGCGCTTGGATTTTCTAATCCCGTATGGGCCGTGCGGCTGTGGGAAGTTCTGCCACCTATTTTGGTCTATGTTGTCATGTATAAAATAGAAATGTGTTGCAATCTAGACAGGCATTATTTTAGGTCATCACAAGTTACTACATTTAAAAAGCAACTTGAGCTTTATTTAATTCCTGTCACCAAAGTATGGGGGAATCATGGTGTGTAAATAGATATTTAAAATGTAATTTTAAAAACTTCTGCATTGTTGACCTCCCACTGTGGATAAAGCTTTGATCTCCCAAATGCTGTGCATGCTTCATAAATTTTAACTATTAACAATCAACAGGGCTGCTGAATGGATAACTTAATTACAATGAGGTGTTAAAAAAATCTAATCCAGTTCCTGCCTTAATAATTAATGAACCAGTGATCCGTGTTCACTAGACAGTGGTTTTGTTTTTTATTTTTCTCTGGGCAAATGAGGTTAGGAAGTATCAAATGAAGTTTAAAAATAACTTGGGAGAGGATTTGCTGCTTCTTTCTTCTAAGTTTCTTAAAATGCTTATTTTGCAAGAGTCTGCACATCTTATCCCTGTTTCACAAAGACCCTGCTCTTGCTGTGAGCTGGCGTTGAAGGCTCTAACTGCACCGTGCATCACGTTGGGTGGGTCCTCTTGTTCATGAGCAGTTTTGTTCATTTTGGTGGTTCTGCCTTGACAGAACACTTTTTTAAGCACTTTCGTGGTTTGGGACAAGATGGTTCAGCACTCAGCAAGATTAAGGACTATACTTTCAGGGGTCATTTCTGTAGCTGGTCACTAGAGGAGAGTGATCGGACCTGTAATCCTGTCTGTGTTGCTTGTGAAGTGTAACAAAATCTCTTATCATTGAAGTAATCCACTGTAAAAAAAAAAAAAAATATATATATAATTCAGTTAAAATGCATTTTAAATTAAGTCATACTTGCAACTTGTATTTCCATGAAGTTCAGAGGAAGAAATGAAGCTGCTGTTTGTGATTTCTGTCTAAATGCTACATTTGGAATTAATCTAGCACATCTGTGTAGCGAGGAGAACCTGATACCTAATTGTCAGGTGGACGTGGCACCTCAGGTTTTTCTCTATAGCAATTTGAATTACGAATAAAATCAAGTGAATTCAGCTGTAACTAGGTAAACCTGTCACTTGGCAACTAATAAGGATCATGTGAGTCACTGCTGTGGGTATTCTCATCTCGTATATATTTTTTTATTTTATTAGTGAAGTTTGGTTTCAGAAATGATTCCAACTAAATGCCTTTTATTTGTAGGAGCCAAGATCAAATTGGTCACCGCTGTCTCAGAGGGGTTTTCAGGTAGGCCTGATGTAACGTTTGGTTACTTGGAGAGATGAGCAATAATGAAGATGATGATTGGAACAGAAGTCCAATAAAATAAGTATCTAATGTGACCATGTGGCTCTATTATTGTCCACTGTCTAGATCAGCATGATGCTAAGTCAGCAAGGCTGCTCTTGAGCATAAAGCAAAGATGAAGAAAACATTATTTCAGTAATGTCTACAGGGAATGAGAATCCTGAATTTAAGGGATATTTCCGCATCTTGAATTCTACAATTTTAAAGTCTGATCTCTGTCTTGACTAGGGTATATAGTGACTCAGAGAGACAGACAGAGAGGGCTTAGTTTGTCTTGTTTTAAAACCTTTGAGTTAAGAAGAAAATGACATGTTACTATTGGGGATTTCCAGCTAGTTCTGACCATTTCTGTAGGAAAACCCAACTGGGATAAAAGGTGAGCATAAAACATGAAGACCTTGATTAATAAGACTAGAAAAAGAAACGTTTTGGTTGAAGGAGATGGTGTGAACTTCCCTTAGTCTAAAGTTGTCTTCAGGAATGCAGAGAAACGACTGCAGTAACAAACTGGCTGGTTTTGGGGGTGCTGGGGGTGCAGGGCACAGGAGAGCGATCGGCAGGGGAACATTCAGTCAGTGGATTTTTTTTTTTTTTCTTCTTTTCCTCCCAGAAGACAACTTTATTCTGGATCTCTGACCTGTCTCTTTTCTCTAGTTCTCAGGCAGGCGCAACTGGAATGCAGCAAAAGACTTGCAGAGATACAGACATCATTACCCGGTATGGACTAAATGATGATGCACATACTCTTGTGGCTCTTGCTCATCGTGTGCTAAGTTTAGGAACACTTTATAAATTTTGAGGGCACCCTTTTGTCTTTACGTTGACAGGCTCAGAACCTTTAAAGGATTTATTTGTGAGGGGGAAGGGATGATGTGTATGTGGGTGCATCAGAAACAAGCTGTTACTTACCAAAACACATTTCAAAGATTTAGCTTGAAATGTTTAGGAAACATGAGGGAAAGCAAGAGAAGTGTTGAAGTGAATACTGCTTTTTAAAAGATTGCTGGTTGTTGATTTCTTGTTCTCATCTCCAGGATTTGATAGAATCAGAAAATGAGGAGGAAGAAGAGATGTGGAACTTGAGCTTTTATAAAAATGAGATTTGTTTTTTGCCCCAGGGTGAGTACCTTGTGTGGTGACTGTTTGATGCAACTCTGCTGCAGCTGGTTGAATTGGTGAAAGAGTAGCTTGATCCATTGTGGGATAATTACTAAGCCAAACAAAACCCACCACCAAAAAACAAAAAAAAACCACACCACACCAAGAATTTCCATTTTAAAATGTCCTTGTTCCTGTTGTATGTTCCTTAATTTTCTGTTTGGTGGTAGAAAACTAAAATTTTGTTCTGGCTTACCAGAATGGTTGACTGGTTAGAGAAGCTAATGCCTGTATGCGAACACCTGGCGCTGGGTGATGAGCCAGCCTGGGTGACTGGCTAACTTTAATTTTTATTTGGTGTCATTTCTTCTTGCCTGACTTTTCTTTTCAGGTTTGTGTATTGAAACTCTGCTTGAATCTTGGTGGGACAACTATGAAGTTCTGGAAGAAAACCATTCTTACATACAGTGGTAAACTGCCTGCATGAATATAGTGCCTCTCTTTAGTTGTGCCTCTTAAGAGTCAGTTGTGTCTGTGTTCCTGAATTCAGCTTCCCAAAAGGCCCAGAATTACTCCTGAGTGAAACCTGTGTCCACTTTATTTTATTGAGTTACATTCTTCTGGAAAGAAGTGCAGCTGTGGCAATAGATCTCAGTCATGCTTGGTCTTACGGCATACTGCAGAATGAAGTGTTAGGGCAATGAGAGAGATCCAGATAAGCAACGTATGTTGTTATCATTGGTGTAGACAATGCTTTTATGGGAGGGATTTATTTGTCATATAGTAAACTACTTCTATGTCCATAAGGATGTGAGGTTTTCAAGAGATGCCTGTGATATCACAATTTTTGGAATCTTTTTTAGTTTTAACAAAATGGGTACCCTGGGTTGGATGTCATCTTTGCTCATCTGGGCTGAAAATTTCTTTCCCTTCAGGCTATTCCCTTTACGTGAACATGGGATGAACTGGCGTGCCAAGCCACTCACGTGTCAAGAAATCCAGGTATTGAAAGCTTTTGTCTTTTTGGGGAGGTTTGTTTTTGTTTGGGGGGTTTTTTTGAGATCTGAAGGATGTTAGGATTTCCCCTAAATGCCTTATATGTGAAGTCTAGTTTGTTTGGTTTGGGTTTTTTTTACATGCTTGCTTGGGGCCCTAGTATGAACGGAGCTCACTCAAGCATTGTTAAGCATTTGTCTGTCTTGTGTCTGCCAGTAGCTACACCAGCAAATGAAATGCTTAGTGATATAATCAAGCCTTGTTTATAATTCAGGTGCCAGTTAAACTGGTGCAGGTAATTAGGGAGTTGCACCTTGTATTCATTGGTCTGTCTTGTTTTCAGGCCTTTAAGAGGTCCGAGGAAGTTATGCAAAGGTTTACACGTGCTTATCAGCTCATGCTGAGATTTTATGGAATCAGTCTGATCAATGAGAAAACTGGAGAACTTAAGAGAGCAGAGAATTGGGCTGAACGATTTCAAAACTTGAACCGGTGAGTCTCTGTTTATACTGCTGGTCATTTACTACAGCCAGGCACTTCTTTGAGAAGGAAAAAAAGTCAAGAAAATCCTCAGCCCTTGAGGAATGGAGGCTTTTGTTGATAAAAAAGTTAGCTAGCTGAAGTATTTTTAACTTGGCTCAGCCTCTGACCGTAGGTCATCACGCTCTGTCACTTATTAAAGTGACAAGTATAACAAGTAAACCAGCTGAGATTGGTTTCCTTTTGTATCCGGTGCAGCTGTTAACAGCAGGCATTCGTGTCGGTCTCCTGAAGTACGAAATACAGACTTGGAGATGTTAATATTGCTCTAGCAGAGCTTGTGTTTAAAACCATGTCTGAAGCAGGAATCACTGAAACTTTTTCGCAGGTAGACAAATTGCCTTTGTAGTATTCTGTTAAACTGCAACACAGGAGTGTTTCCGTGTGCTCCCCTGATTGTTTATAAAGCTGCCTTACCGTGTGCGAAGTGCTTTGAATCCTCGGTTGAAAAGTGCGCTGCAAATTGGTGGTAATGTTTTTGTATTATTGCAGGTCTTATCATAGAGATAGTAATGACCCTTCGTATTCTAGTACCGCTAATGATATTAACAAGGGCTCCGAAAGGACTGGGCATACTCCCAAAAGAAAAATCAACTTGAAAATCGTCAAGTATAATTAAAAAAAAAAAAATTAAAAAAAAAGCTGTGTCTAGCTTAAGTCCCTAAGTCATGAATTTCTGGCAGCACCCTTACATGCCTGTATTATTATACTTTTCTACAGGCTTACCCTGCAGGGTCGCTCTCAGGGACAGGATACTGGCCTGCATGGACTTGTGTGTCTGACCCAATATGGTGGCTGTTATCTACCGGTGGGTGATGCAGAAAGCCAGAACCTTTCCAAGCAGTTGAGATGACTGATTAATCCAAGTGGTCCAAGAAGGGCTAGGAAGGTGCTGCTAAAGGCAGATGGCAGCGGTAGGTTCTTGAAAAGTAAGCCCGCCTGCATTGTCACATAGTCTTTAATAGACCACGGTCAATAATGCGCAAAACATTTTGCAGGTACCGTGGGGGTTCGTTGTAACTCCAAGCTTGTAAGACGCACTTAACAACTTTGCTTATCTGTGTTTTTTCAGGTTTAGCCACAACAATTTGCGGATTACGCGCATCCTGAAGTGCCTGGGGGAGATGGGATATGAACACTATCAAGTGCACTTGGTAAAGTTTTTCCTAACAGAAACTCTTGTTAAGGAGACGTTACCAAATGTCAAGAGAAGTGCCTTGGATTACTTCCTGTTCACCATCAGGAGCAAAGAGGAGAGAAGAGAACTAGTCCACTATGCTTGGCAACACTTCAGACCTCGAGGCAGCTTTGTATGGGGACCGCGCGACAAGCTCTTGAGGTACAGACCGTGCTCTACCAAGTCACAGCTGCACCAAAAGACTGAAGATGAACAGGAAACTCCTGGTAAAAAGTGTGATGATTCTGTGGAAGAAGATGAGAACCAGTCTCTAGAGATAGAACAGAAAGCTGGAGATGCTGCAGACTTGCAGCCTAAAGTGAGTGATGAAGATGTAAAAGAGAAGTTAAGTGAATGCATTTCGAAGGGAGGGGATGGTGAAGAGGAGAAAGACGCTTCATTTACCCAGCAGGAGGAGAAGGATTTAAACAGTGAGACTGAAGAAGTGCAGGGTGCGGCAGAGAATGATTGCACAAAGGAGAGCAAGAAGAGAAAACTGGATGCAAACATGGCAGACGCTAAAAAGAGTGGACCGTTGAAAAGCCCTACTGATATTGAAAATATTTCCCGTAATCTGGGAGAATGTGCGATTGATGCAGAAATCCCCTCCTCAGCTCCGCTCTTAGAAGCAGAAGAGGACCAGGAAACACTGAAAGAAAACAATGCAAGCACCAAAGACTCAACAGTGCCAGAGACCACTGATGCAGCTGTAAAACGGAGGAAAGTTGATAAAAGAACATCAAGAAGCAAAACATGCAACCTGGCCATAAACCTGAACATGGGGCTCTCTGCCTCTAGTGCCAAGTTAAATCCATCTGTTGCAAACACTGAGGCTGAAAAAGAAAATGTCAGTGAGAAAAGTGCAACTTTGGAAACGACAAGTGAGAAGGGTGGTGGTGATGCAAATGGCGGGGCTGTGAGACCCCCGGTTGGTTCCACGCTCCCCAAGACTGGCTGGACTTCTCCAATAAGTGATGGCTTGGAGTTGAGTGGAGATCAAGTGACAGCAAGGAGCGATCAGCACCACTGCACCAGCACACTCCTGGGAGGCAAAAGTGAGGTAGATGGGGTAGAACAGCATAAAAAGGCAGAAAATGCAAGTGAAGAAGGGCAAGCAGAAGTCACAGGCAAGAAACAAGTTCCAGAGAGCCTTGAGCAGAGCATGGCATCCACTTGTCCTGAAGAAGACAGTGCTGAGGTTGCAACGCAAGAACCTGAAAGCTCTGAGCGTGCAGCAGAACCTTGATGAAGAGCACGTAGCAGCAGAGTGAGACCAGCACGGCAAGCATTCGAGCACGCGGAGATGACGCTGCCCTAACTGCTAGGAGCCAGCTTTAGTGATTTGGATAGCAGAAGTACACGGAAGAATAAACTTCCTTTGGACTGATCCAGGGTAGCCCCTGTCTGACTTTCACCCTTCCAGACTTTTTTAATAATCTGTAGTAACTTCACTGAGATCCAGCCCTTGGTTATCCTAAAGAGGAAAACTCTAATTTAGTCATCTTCATGGACAGGCTGTGTCCTGTTCCTGTTTTTTATCTGATGTTCAGGATTATCTTGGAGTAACAGGGGGTTTTGCACTTTGCTTTGGTTCTGGTATGTCCCTTCTTAAAGAGAAGAGGAAAACTAACCTGTTTCCTTGTTTGAACTAGTCAAGTATTTATTAAATACATGATTTTTAATGTAAGACAGCATGACCCAATTTGCCAGGCCTTTCTATTACCATGTAACTTCTATTTGTTGTTTTGAAAGGCTGTACCTTCCCAGGAGATTTATTCCTGACAAAGATGCTGTGTGTCTGGTTTCTAGGGCATAAATCATTATTTTTGTGGCATTTGCCTGGAAGAGATGAGTATATGCATTTCAAATCATGTAAGAGTGTAGTTCCCTCTCCTCCTATAAAGAAAGTAGGTTTGACTTGAGGCTGGGATAAAATGCATAGTCAAAACGTATCTCTGACCAATATTAACCTTTGTGTACGGATACTGTTCTCTAGGGTGCAAAGTGCTGATTAGTTTGCTCCATTTATGCCCCGCAGAAGTTGCTTTGGAGTGCTTGTTAGAATTGAGAATATGAATTGTCTACTGGTTTCTAAGAGAAAAACGATCAGACTTTGCGTAAAGCTGTCTAGAGCTCTTCTTCCCCAGGTTTTTCCACCACTTCCAGACCCTCGATAGTCTTCCACAGATACTTATGTCCGCTACTGGTTCAAAGGCCTTCCTTCCTCAATTGCCAAAATAGAACAAATGTTTGTCATTGCATCTTTTCAGACTCTGCCGTTAATTTGCAGTTGCCCATGGGGCTGTCTTTTCTGCAGGCCCACTGCATGAAGTTAGATGTGTCAAATTTAACCCACTTCCTAGTTAGGGCAGGATTGTTTTACCATTAACGATCAGCATGTCAGACAGCGAGGGCATGTTGGAGTACAACATGTCTGGAAACCGCTGGGCTTTGTAGGGCAGTTAATTGAAACTTTAATTGGAGGGGGTACGCTTGTCTGGTTCATTTATTTACAGCCCTCGAGAATTTACTTTCAGACCTTGCCAGCTCTTTGCCTGCCTTAATGTTGCTGACCTCCCTGTTAGCTATTTTTGCCTGAGTTACACAGTATTCAAGCAAGTCTGAAGGAGCATTAAACAATTTAGCACTTTCGCTCCTAGAGATTTACAACAGAGGACCTGTTTCATGAAGCGGAGGAAACGGTTTCCAACAGCCAGAAGGTCTGGACTTGCTGTTTGCTCAGATTGTTTGTTTTAGTTTTGGGGTTTTTAGGTGCTGTTTGTTTTGTGTGGGAAATGACTAGAGGCTTGCCCGCCTTGCCAGAGAGCAGATGCAGTAGCCTGTGCAATGTTAATGTTTTTCCTCTCTCTGCTACAGTTCTTAAGAAGCTTCATCTTTCAAGGAATTTGATCAGTGACTTGCCTTCCCAGATCGGGGGTCCTGATCCAGCATGCCACATACACGCGTGTGGGAATAAAAGTCTGCAAGCTTAACATCTAATGTTCATGGTCACACATGTGCTGGAAAAAGGCTCTAATGTTTTTAAAATACTTCTTTTTTTTTTTTTCTTTCTTATGAACAGAGTTAAATAGCCAATAAGAATACACTTAACTACAGATATAAATACTTGACCATGTTGAGTGAAAATTCTTTCATAAAAGATTCGTAAGACATTGTTCATCATGGCTTTTGTACAGATTTATAGTAATTTTCTTATTTAATGAGCTCAGTTGGGGCATAGATCATATATTGTTATGGTGATGTGTGGTTTGTTTTTGTGTTTAATGGGATTTCACTGTGAGCCCTAGACTGGAGTGCTCAAACCAAACCGTTCCCTGTCATCAGGTTTAGAGTTTTGGCTATAGGTGTTTGCAGTGAGTTCACAGGATGTTTTCCAGCACTCAGAGCTGTATCACAGTGTCTGTTAAATTAATGTCGCCTATTAAAGCATGACTTTAATGCATACCAGTTTCCACTTACGTTTTTTTCATCTTTGAGGGCAGGACGTGACCATGTGTCTGCCCCCACACACACACACACCCTGTAGCCAGCTGCTGTTGCTTGGGCACCCCCAACGAGTGGGTGCATGGGGCTGTCCGGCGTCCCCACGCAGAGGTCTGGTGGGCTCACCCTGAGATAAACCTGCTGCTTGTTCCATGTGGAGATGATGCTCAGTCCTCCTCCACCGCTGTAAAACGTGGCCAGTGAAAGTTTGGGGGGGAAAAGACACCCCCCCACACACGCTTCTTGTTTAATGGTGTGCTTTGAAATGTTTCAGTGTGCCCTGTCTTGGGAGGATGGCAGCACAGAGCCAGGTGTGTGTTGTGATGCCCTGTAGAGCAAACAAGGACTTTGCTTTTGAGCAGCTCCTGGGGCTAGCAGGCAGGAGGGCAGCTGCCCAGCCTGCATATGGGGGCTTTAGTCGAGTGGGCTTTTTCCTCCAAGACACGAGCACAGGGGTGTCTGTGGTAATGACCTCTGTAAGTCGCTGCGTCCCTTCAGCTGTGCTCCCTCTGCCTGGGGACGTGGGAGGAGAGGAGGACCGGTCCTCCTCTTGTTCTGTGTGGTGGGCTTGAAGGTGAATACTCCCAGGGCTCTTCCCTTGCTGGTCATAAGCAGGCTCCCCTTGGAGCAGCCCTCCCATCCTTGGCTTGCTATGAGCAACGTGTGGCCGAGGAATTTGGATCTGCTTTGCCTTCTCTCTCGCCATCAGCTGGCCTCAGTGCGAAGGAGGAGGTACAAGCTCTGTGCGAAGCAGTTCGTGCGACTGCGCTGCTCTCCCTCTCTGGGGTTTGTGGTGTCTAATAAAGCATTCAATTTACTTTGAAGCCATCCAAAGACATACAGACACGCGCTCCCTTTCTGTCCCCAGGTGCCTGTTCCACAAAATCTTGTAGGAACTTATAAATCTTTGAGTCCTTTATCCCTCTGTCAAGGTTGGTGGAATATTGGCTGCTGGGGAGCGGGACAGGCACGCACTGTGCTCATATAAACCTCCTGGCGTAAGGATGCCAAACTGAAACCTGGTATTTCATTTTTTTTAAGCTTTGCTTTTCCACTTCTGCTCTCCTCTTGCTAACCAAATGAGCTGTGTCATTTCAGTCCTGATGAATCTTGCCACTGTTCCTCTCCACTTCCAAGCCCTGCTTTGGATGAAATTGTCTTTAATCGATAAAGGGAAGCATGAAGCTATTTGCAGAAGATGCATCTTCATGAATATATTACCATTGGGATCACCTAGCTGGGAACTGTCATCCTGTTCCTTCCTTGCAAATATTTCAAAGGCAATTCTTCCTTTTTTTTTTTTTTGTGGCTGTGAGAACATTTCTCCTTTTTTCTTCCTCCTTGTATCTGTCTGCGATCATCTGTTCTCTGGTCAGGATTCATCACTTTCTCAAGAAATCAGTTGGCATTCTTTAGATCTCCTTGGAGAAAAAAAAAAAAACAGATGTGAACACACCTCCAGAGCTAATAAACCGTCTCACAAAGCAGTAAGTGCATTTCTCTGTAGTGCATCTTGCACTCGCTACAGGTATATTGATTTATCTAGTGAAGATAGGTAGCCTCAGGCACTGAATAACTCTCACTCTGTGTTGCTTTTTATCTGTCCAGCACTGAGGTGGTGATGGACTTTGAGAAATGGCCCGGGTGAGATCTAAGGAACATCTTTGTATCTCCAGCCGGAGCAGCCGAATTTTGCTCCTGCGGCGTGTCTGCAAGTCCGGCCCTTCCTTAGGCTCCCTCCCTGTTTGCTCAAGGCTGGGGCTGCCCAGCGGGGCATGAATGAGAGCTTCTCTTCCTGACCGACTGCTGCTCCCCCTCCTTCTCCCACCTCCTTCCGAAAACCTCCTCTCTCCTCCCAGCTCAGCCCCTCTCGCCTGTGCTCCCGAGCTCTGCCCCTCCAGCTGGAGCCGCAGGTTTATCTGGAGGCGAGGAGTCTGTAAGCTGAGACCCAGGAGGAGGAGGGATCTGCTGGACCCTGGAGGAGAAACCGTTTAGCTGCCCAGGAGGAGCGAAGAGAGGCAGAGCCTGGGCACCATGGCTGGATCCTCCGCTCTTGGGCTTCTCTTCCTATGTCAGCTATTAGCCACAACATCAGCTCAGGTAAAAAGCCTCATTTATGTCTTACGCTCAAGAAAAAACTCCGTAAGGGAAAAAGATAGTGGTCTGTGTATGTTATACCTGCAGGATGAAATGTGGCAGTAGGCAGGTTATTAGAGTCTAAAGTTCGTTAAATGTGTGTTGCTTGTGCTGTTATACAGAGAGTGCCTAGCAAGCACGTCTGGTTTTGTACCTGCGTAGGTAGGCTTTTAGGTCGTATCCCCATGTGTAGAAACCGCTGCTTTATACTTTCCATAGAAGTATTGTCTTCCCATTCAGGACTGCAGTTAGGAGAGGGAAAGCCTTGGGAAAGGGGAGGCCTGTTGATGTAAGAGAAACAGTTTTCTTTTACAATGAAGTAATACGTTGCCAGCGAGACTGATGATCTGATCCGGGTCTTCATCTGAATCGGAGTTTCTTATTCCTTCCCTCAATCAATTTTCAAATTTTACACTTATAAAATAGCATATTTAACCCTTGTTCACTTCAGACGTGAAGCTATATTAAACTCCCCTGTGTGGTGTTAATATTATTGCCTGGGGAAGTAACTCCTCAGTGAGGTTTTTCATTGTGTTAGTGAGGAATTTCTGCAGTCTGGCTTGGGAATTCAGAGCTACCCTCATCTGCTGTGAGCAGAGCTGCTTCTACAATGAAACCTTTGTTTGCTGAAGCTACAGCAAGTTGCTCTCTGGAGGCCTCTCCATACAGAAGTCATTTATTGGACCTTTCTTTCCTTCCCCCCACCTCAGACCTCCTCCCAAATCCCAGATTTTCAAACGGCATCCTGCTCCAAGAGGAGACTTTCTCTTTCTCTCCTTCTGTCTTCAACGGTGTCCGCCTGGCTCTTCCATCACCCCATCAGACTGGGACTATAAATTAGTTTTTAATGCCAAGCCCTTGGCACCTATTTTCCATGGGCTTTGCGTTTCCTCCTCTGCCCAAAATGAAACGTGCCTGCAGGCAGTGAGAACCATTTCCTATACAACTAAACCCCTTTGCTGCCCAGCGGCCAGCTCTGATTCCCAGCGTAAGCCACCAGTTAAAAGAGCTGGGAGCCCTGAGGGTGCGCTCAGTCAAAAGGGTTTTCCAAAGAGCCTTGCACCGGTCCTGAGCTCCTCTGAGTCCACCCAGGATGGTGGGGGGGCCCTGAGGGATGGAGGGTTGGTGCAGATTTAGGGTTAAGCTGTAGGGCTTGGCCATTGCTTTCTGATTTAGCCCATATGTTTCTTCTGACGCAAAAATAAACTCTTCTCTCTCTCTTTCTCCCAATCCTTTCAGAGAGTAGGACCACAAGGCCCTCCTGGACCACAAGGACCCCCTGGACCATCTGGCAAGGACGGCATAGATGTGAGTGACGTACGGCAGAGGGCAGGCTCGGCCGAGGGAGGGCGAGGGGTGGAGCAGAGGCAGAGCCAACTGAGCAGAGAAGCTGCTCTTGTTCTCCAGAGCCCTAGCCCTTGGGCCATCCTTCAGAGACGGATGGACCTGGAGAACCAGCCTACTCACAAGAGACCTCCTTCTGCAAGAGTCAGAACAGCGAGTGGAGGTGCTGAGTGGCCTCAGGTTCTTTGCAGGATCAATCCCCTGTCTCAAGAGAGAGTTCAGGACAGAGCTAGGGATTCGTGACCCTGCTTGCAAAGCAGAATATTTCTCTTTCGGTGTCTAGGGAGGAGGGGGAACGTAATATGGTTGAGTGCATGGGTACAATGTGCGTCTGAGTCATTGCATGTTCTGTAGCTCAGAGAGAGGTTTACGTGACACTTCAGAGCATCCACGTTTCTAGAGAGGCCCCAAGAAACTCAAGTATGCAGCACTGGACACTGCTTTTACTTAATTTGTTTTATTTCAACGTTGTTAATATGGCTATCCCTAACTTACATTCGTATGCGAGAGGTCAGAATCTGGCTTGTGTGTTTCCAGACATGAGTTGCATTTAGTGGCACAAAAGGCAAATGAAATGGGCACCCTTTATTTCAGCAGGCAGTTCTTTATACGTACACCTCCTGTAGAGGTAGAAGACTACGTACCACAGGACCTACTGGAGGAAAAAAACTTGTCCTATTACTTTTAATTGATGGTTCCATAGAAATGAAAAATTTTGCTTCTATGCATCTGTTAGATAAGGGCTGAATTGTGTCCTTTAGTTGGCAGTGGATAAAAAGAGCAACAGATGGACCTTCAACTGGACCACATCACACGTGAAAGGCCGGATTCCCGCTTCGCTATTCAGTTTGAGTAGCGCTTGTCTCTCTAAGCTGCTTATGGAATAGGGCAGGGTTTTTTAAAGCTAGTCTGAAGTAAGTTTATTGGAATTCGGCCTTTAAGCAACCTTGAAAAAATCTATTCATTCCATGCAGGTCATTTTCTTTTGGATAAGAAGGTAAAAAAAGATATATGTGTTCCCTGGTATATGGTGAACAAGGAGCTTTTTTGTCTGCGGTGGTGAGCTTTCCTAGTGGCTCTGTGAGCAAGGCTGGTCTGAAGAGAGAACCTCATTGATTTGCAGCTAGTCCCTCTAAAGTGTCCTTTCGACTAACGGAGACCGTTTTACTGAAAATCTCCCTGGTTTTGTAGCATGAAAAGTTCAGAGCTGGTACATTGACAGTTTCTCTCCACCCTGGAAGAGGGCAAAGGACACACGTTCACGTTTGCAGCAGTGAGCCTGTGGAGTCACTGCAGCAGGACATCCGTGCGGCCAGGAAAGGGTGGCTGCGGTTCTGTACAGAGTGAAAAAGAAGAATTTGGGAGGGATGAAGCCCTTCAGACTTCAAGTCATAACCAACTTCTGCGTATAGGCAATCAGAAAGAAACAAATCCCTGTAATTGTGTCGTTCAGTTCTTGCTTTCTACAGGATATTTTACACCTTAATTCTGGAACAGCACCAGCATCACTTCTGATTGCTCTTGGAAACAGGAGCCTGGGGAGATGCTGGTCACGTGAAGCTGCGCCCTTTTATCCTCTGCTAAAAGCTTCGGAAGGCTCCCTGTGGGACAGGACCAAATAACAATGTCTAATTAATACGAAGAACTTAGTCCTAATAAATCAAACGGCTGAGTAAAGTATTTAAGGTGCTAAGTCTTGCAGTCCCAGCTTGAGTCTGGAGTTTTGGTGACGCAGGAATAGTCTCTCATTTGAACAGACTTGATCTACGTCCCTCCTATGGATATAGGTTGTCAGGTGTCCTGTTCATGTGAGGTTGTCCAGCTGTTCAGGGACAGGCTCCGGGATGGTTTCTGCTCTTCAACAGGACATTTAGACTAAATTCAACATTTAGTCCTGTTGAGTTGCATACGAGAAGAGATGCACAGCTGTGGCTAGTGTTGAGCACAGTCATGAAGCCTCCCAGTTCAAGAGCTACCACTTTTCTGGCAGTACCCTCCAAAAAATTATGGCATGTAAAATCCAGCACTGCTCTGCATTTTCGTAGTGCTGCATGGAGAGGATTGCGTGGGGCCCAAGTGGTAGTGTCAATTCTACCACCGCAAAGAACGAAACCATTATTTTATTTCTTTTCTTTAGTGATTATACTTCCTTTAAAGCACAATCGGAACTTTCCTGGACCGTATCTATGTGAGTTTCCTGAACTCTGTAAGCCGCTCCAGCTGGGTCGTCTTCACAGATGGCTTTGGATCAATGCTGTGTGGGAAGAGCCGCTGAATGGTCTTTGAGCTGGATGAGCGCTGCCGAGGTGTTCAGCAGTCCCTTACTGTCGGCCGTGAGCAGTGAGCGATGCATAACATACAGCTGAATTATTCAGGATATCTCCGAACAAACCTTGGATGAACCCCATAAGCACAATTTCTAGAAGCTCCTGCTTTCGTTCCTGCTTTTCAGTGGGAGCTGCAACATTAAGTCCCTCTGAAATATTTTATAATTATAGCCTTTAACATACTTCACATTTCATACTCAGTAACAATCAAAATCTCTCCCTCCCAAGAATAGAAACAGCATGTTATGATCGAAAGCATAAGCGACAAGTTCCTGTGAATGATTTCTGGGGATGTAATTCCCCAAATTGCTAATAAGCAATTGTCACTTTTCAAAAAATCAAGCTGCTTTTTTTTTTTTCCTTCCACTTTTTGTCTCCTGGCTTGACTTGCTAAGAAAGAGCAAACTTCCTTCCCTCTCATGTAGCACCAGGAGAGCATTTCCTTTTGCTGACGGCCTTTGACTAATTCCCAGCGATCTGGCATTAGGGGTATATGCACTGATTAGGCTTTTGATTCAGCTGACTGAAGTTCTGGTGCTCCTGCAGAGTCCCACAGGGGTCCACGACGGCAGGATCAAGGTTTAAGATGGTCCCAAACAGCCTTTGCTGATGCTGTGACCTTGCTGTATGGATTGCCATCACACAGGCAAGAAAAAAATGCAAGGGGCTAGCAATCTCAAGTGATGGAGGAGGGAGTAAACCACCTCTACTGCCATTTCTAGCTGCCTTTTCAAACCATTCATTGCAAAAGAACTGCTCCTTTCATTTCCTTGGCAGGGGACCTTCCCCACCTATGATAACGATAACTATTTATGGAAGATCTGTGGGCAAAGGACACCAAAGGAGTTGCTTCAGCAAGACAGAGCATAAAGATCCCTCTGTTCAATGACTCTCTCGTCTGTGCGTTGATCGGTCACCAATGCAGTACATAAATCCTCGCCTGAGCGAATCAAGGCAGCCAGTCTTGAGAGATTTGCCCACAGACTTCGCAGTTGCCGACACAGTAAATATAGAAACATGCTATAAATTCCACAACTTTGCTTACTGCCTTCTAACTCCTAATTATCAGGCCCGCTGTGGGAATGGTGTTATTTCTAGCCTTGCTCTGTTAATAACCACCCTTTTTCCATATAGATTTTCTTCTTCCAGGGTATCAACATACCCCTTCCCCTCTGCTTGCCCACAATACCTGAGCCTCTCGCAATATTTAGTGCACTTATCCTAAAGCCAGGAGGGGAGGGTACCATCCAGACATCTGGAACTGGGACACAAAGTGATTTTCTGCGGGATGAGATGGGAAACGAAGCTCCAGTCAAGCTCCTGCTATTCACAAATGATTGCCTCTTTCGGTGGCTAACAATAAAACACAAATATCTTGTTGTCTGGGGTCCACACAAGCTCCTGAATGATGTTACAGCTGGCTGAGCCAGAAGGATTGATTCAAAGACTTCTTAAATATTGTCTCCCAAACACCTTTAATGCTGTTCTTCAAAGTTGCTTTCCATTAGGATAGGAAAAAATGAGCACTTTTGAAATATTTTATAAAAATTGGGTTTAATCTGGATTGTGCAATTGGATTAGGTGGAAATCAGTTGGGGGCTTTGTTCATTTCCTCTTCCTGTCAAAGTTTAGTCATATGAAGAAAATCATTGTAGGCAGTTTGTTCATTCTTCACTTTCTGATAGTCCCCAACTCCCGGTAGTACCACAGTTGCACACTGTGTCCTGGATACCTGGAGCTTGTCATTGTATCCCTCTGCTTCATCAGGAAGATGTTTGAAAGCCTCAATAGCCATCCAGCTTCCTCTCTGCCCCACTTGCAGACAAGCCCAAGCGCAAATAATTTCTAAGTAGACCTGGAAAAAGGTGGAGGTGCTGGGCACCGTTCAGAAGCGCTGGTTCTCTCTGGGAGGCTGAGGATGTGGGTTTCACCAAATCTGCTATCGTAGATGTGGAAAAGGCTATCCAAGCTCATCCTGCTTTCGTGGTCAGCAGGATCTAGAGCATCAGCTTCATAAGACTGAGCGTGGTAAATCTTGGAGCGGGCATGAAGGGAGACTTGAGCGCTATGACAGTTGGGAGCGCCGTTGTTGCAAAAAGTCAACGGAAAGAGGTACAGCACTAACACCGATGTCTTTTCTCTTTCATTTAGGGAGAGCCGGGCCCTCCTGGTTTGCCAGGCCCACCAGTAAGTATTTTCTGGTTGACATTGACTTGCTCATCCTTTTGAGAGGGACACAATGCAAGAGCTAAGACTCACTGGCTCATTTTCCTCTTGATCTACAGCAGAATTTCCATAAAGGGTACACAGGAGCGGAGATGCTCAGCACTGGTCCTGGGGACAAACGCATTCTTCTGCTTCGTTGCTAGCGGAGGATATGCATGAAATAAAGCTCACCCATCGCCGGTATAACAAAACTGGCAGCAAGCCACATATGCGTGGTTATTTTTGGCATTGGTCTGAGTCTGCTTCAGCTCCTCAGTCTGCCGAGGGGTGCTCAGAATTGTACCAGGTGGCACAGCTCTTTGCTTTGGGCCATTTACCCCATCCCTTTCTACCCCTTTCTACCCCTCTACTAGGAACAGCTTATGAGTAACTGTATGTGGAACTGAGCCAAAGCACTGAAATGAATTTAGGATTTGGATATGGATTCATGGCAAGTTTTGTCCCTCTCTGCAGGAGTTCTTCCATGTTGCATGGTGTAAGATTAACACATCAACAAATGAACTTCCATCTTGTAGCCCATATCAACACACGCCATGTTTCTCTTGTTATTATGTTAAAAATAATTGCCTGTTTATCTGATTTAGGGGCCAAAAGGTGCACCAGGGAAGCCTGGAGCAGCTGGTGAAGCTGGATTGCCTGGCCTTCCCGGAGTGGATGTGAGTATTTTGTCATCTTCTCTTAGATCTTTTAAGTATTTCACATAGGCATGGGTGTTTTCCCCAAAGCGTCTCATCAACTTTCTCTGTGTCTACTGGAGAAGCAAAGTGGGTCCTGGATCTACATATGTCTTGCATACCAGGAGAAATTTTAAGAGTTGAAAGCATTTCTTGGTTGAATTAAGGTGTATGAGAACAATTTTGAGATGCATAACTGATAGGACGGCACTCTTACAATGAAGCATTGCAGTTCTTCAGAGGTGCACTGGGCAAGTCTGCAGAAACACAGGCATCAGTTGATGTTTCTGGAGCAAACCCATCGAGCCTCAATTCAGAAATCCAGTCGCACTTATTAGCTGAGACTTGCTGGTCACTGGCCTGGGATTTGCCCTACAGCTCTGGACAGGTGACTGCACACAGTCAAGTTTTCCCAGCTTACCGACTTACTGCCGTGGTACCTGACTGTGGGTAAGGTTTTAGCCAGCACATTTTCTTCTGCATCAGGCGAGAGGAAGCATTCAGTAAGCTTCCACAGCTAAGCTGCAATGCAGTAAACACCAGTAACAAGACTACGTGGTGGTGTTCATCCACTTACAGTGCACAGGGAACAGCACTGATAATTTGCTTCTGTTCCTTTCCTTTGTGATTAATTACAGAGAGAAATAAAATGGTTAGGCTTTCCTGAGACCTTGGCACCCAGATGATTTGTGTTGGTGACAGGGACTTCCTATAGCTCTTGTTACTGTATTTCTCTGTTTTCACACTTATCTTTCTTTTTTTTTTTTTACAGGGTTTAACAGGAACCGATGGCCCACCTGGCCCAAATGGGCCTCCAGGAGACCGTGTGAGTACCACATTAGATCCTAAGTCCCTTTAAATGAACATTGTCACTGATTGTATTGATGGTTTCTCACTCCTTTGTAAACTGGTGACATTCGAGTGTTGATTACGATGGCTTATTTATCCGTAAACCCTTGCAGAATGCTTGGACCCTTGAAATGAAGCCCCGGATGGCTTTTCATTAGGCAGGGCATGAGATCCATCTTCCTTTCACATGGCGCTGAATGGGCTTGGATAGCCCACCACAGTGGTGGGAGTGCCAGTGCAGAACAGCCCTGGTGATATTTCGAGTATCTAAAAAGTTCCTTGAAGCAGTCGATAAACTTCGTAATTAAGTCTATCAAAGTGAAGCTATTTTGGCCTTTATTTTCAGTCTGAGTATGCAGCTCTGTTACGTTTATAATTACTGCTACTGTGTATTAACTGTTTAAACTTTTGCCTTTTGTTAATTCTGGGGCTGTCCATATGGTTGACATTATTAGTTGCTTTGGCATAGACTTCCCTAGCCAGCGTAGCAAGAAATAAGAGGGTTTTTTCCTTGCTTCCTGCATATTACAGCTCTGCTAAGGGGCACCACAGGGACAGGGAAATTACTGCCTGAGATGTTACAGATGTCCTTCAGATCATCTACAATGGGGCTGGAAAGGCACTTAGGTCTCCTTATGACATTAAGGACTAAACATGAATGAGCCATTCAGCACAGATTTTTATCCAGCATGGCTATTTTCCTGTCTCCCAGGGAAGATAAGACTTGTATCCACAGCTGGTTTATTGGTCTCCTGAACTCGGGGCTACAGTAATGGGCTGAACACACGTCACAGCGTGCAGAGGTTAAAAAAGGTTCAATACATCTCCATAATCCATTTGTTGCCCTGAGGAGTTACCCAAAGCTCAAAACTCTGAGTCGTCTCATTTAGTTAAAGGGATGAGTGATAGAACCGTGTATCTTTGATACGCTCTGCTTCCTTTCCCATGTGCAAGGCAACGTTTGCTTGGCCACTGGGAAAGTTGAGTGGCAGGACCGAAGCATCTTGGTCACAGCCCCGAGCCTCCGTCCATTGGCACTGCACTAAAAACCATCTCCTTTGCTTTTCCTCGTGCCCGTCTTTCCCCAGGGATCCAGGGCTGCAAAATCCTGACCGCTCTCAGACAGCCTGTGGCAAGAGCCCAGCACCTCCTGGGAACTGATCCCTGATTTTTAAAATAGAAGAGTTCAGGACCACACACAGAAGACTGTGAGCAGTTTTGTGCCCGTTTCACGTTCGGTGGTGGTATTTGCCCATGCCCACTTTAGCACACAAGCTCCTAGTTTGCAGCGTAACGGCGCAGATAATTTCTGGGCACAAGAACTTCCTCTTCAGCTGTTTAGTAGAAGCACACAAATGCTGTTTTAGCACAGTTACCGTAACTACATGCTCTGATTTGACGTGCTTTCCCATGTCTCGTAACTCAAGCTGTCAGCATGGGGCAAACTTGGGACCTGTTGTCATTTACGGGAGCTTTTCAAGGTCAGTGGTCCGTCTGGAAAATTGTTTTAATTGGTCTAATAAAAGCCTGGAAAAAGAAAAAAAACCTGTAAATTTCTAGCACTCTAAAAGGACAGCATTGTTATCCCGACTTTTTCTTCTGCCCAACTTTAAGAACATATTTCAGTCTCCCAGGAATCACTGAAATAAGCAGGTGTCTACTTACTGTTGTGGGATTGAATTCATGCTTAACGCTATAACTTTTCTGAACAAGCATGTTTTCCTGAACTGGGGTGTCTGAGAGCGAAGGTGTTGAGCATATGGAAGTGGGCTCATGGAAGACAGGTTTTAGTAATACATTATTGCTAAACATTTCTTTTCCTTCATCAGTCCAACAGTGATTCAGGTCTGACCAGGGACAGAGTATTGTGAAGGCAGCATACCAAAATGGGTTTTATGTTAAATACTCCCATCGCTGTCAGCATCCGTTAGCTTTTCTCATGGTTCTGCTTACAGACTAGATCAAGCCTAATTGCTTTTTCAATTAAAAAAATCCTTTCTTTTTAGCCAGGAACGAGCTGGGTTCTGACCTCAGTGCTAGATACTGGTGTCCTTCGTTGGAAAGTTTTCAAAGGCCGTTTTGAAGTTTGGTGCTTTACGCTATAAGCAACGAGGAAAACATAATTATTCATATTTGTTTATGAATGTCATATTAATCAAGTCTTTCCTATGCTCCGTAGTTGTATATTTATAAAGTATATTACTTTAAAGTGAAAAATTATGGTGAGATTGTTTTTTAATCAAAAGAGAAAGAACATTGTTACCAGGAGAATGAGTTGAGTCAGACAATGTTATTAAAATTGAGGTGTAAATTAGAGTCTCTCCTTTGAACTTAATGGAGTGACATCAGCTTGCTCAGGGACTCGATGATCTTTTACCGTACCAGGAATGTTCACTGCTGCATGCTGCACCTTACGCCCTCAAAGATATCAAAATTAAGGAGCGTGAAGTGCCAACGCTTGGCACTTTGGGTACTCTGCCAACCTTTTGGCATGTCTGCCAAAGCAGAAAGGGGCTAGGCAGCTGGTTCCAGTGGGGGCAGGATTAGGGTGCAAAGCAGTGGGTGCCAGGAACTCAATGTTTTCTTTACAGGATGAGATCCCAGCTTGTCCCTTACAACCATCAGTGGTTGTAAGGACTCAGCCTAAAGATAAAAGTGACTGGAAGAAAAGCAGGGTAACCTGCAGTAAGAGAAGTGAATGAGCTGACATTTGCAGCAGAGTTGATTTTTATTGGATTACAGTCCTCTCCTCACAAGACTCCTCTTAATGAGGCCTTGGGTCCTCTGTATCTTTCTCCTTAAGCTTAACAAGGCAAAATATTTCTAATCTCATTCGGTATGCACAACATTAGGAAAGGGCTGGAGTTGTCCCTGGGATCACAATAAGCAGCAGTGTGTTGGGATATTTTCCAGGTCTGCCCATCTCCCTTGTTCTCCTGGTCCTAGGGGTAGATACCATTTAATTCCAGCTCAGGACATCATTCTCGAGATGTTTCTGTGCAGCATTTTGAGAACTTTTGGAAAACAGGTTTGGGTAGTCGGGCTGGCGAGAGGCTGAGGAAGCCTCGTGCTGTGATCGCTCTTTCTCCTCTGCACAAGGAGCTGACGGTTTTGCTGGCACTGGTTTAACCCAGTCCATAAATAACAACATGGTTTGTTCTGTGTTTAAGTCTGTCACCTCCTTACTATTTTAAGTTCTGCTTTTATCCAGAGAGCAACATCAGCTGACAACAATACAAATGCAAGCAAAAAGCTGTCTGCAGCAGGGCCTTGAGAACAACGCGGCTCTTCTGCAGCTCCCAAGCGTCAGCACAGCTTAGAGAAGCCCACTGCGAGGGCTGCGTCAGTGCTGTTGAGCAAGCTATTATTTTATTTATCATTCACCCCAAATTACACTGGCATTTCTGCACCTCCACAACTTCTTTTTTTTTTTTTTTTCCCCTTTATTTTTTTTTGGCTTTTTAAAAGGAGTGACAAAATTGCTCTGCTCTCATCAGCCGCCTGCCTCTGCTTTTCCTTTCCCCGTCGCAGCAACAGCTGTTTTCAGAGGAGGCTCTTGGACCCGAGAGCATCAGTCAGCAATGCACACCCAGTATCTCTTGGAGATATCTTAACAGCTGCTGGCCAAGGTCAACCCACCACACTGGGTTTTTTTGTTCATTTTTATATTTCCATTTACTTTCTGTTTCAGAATTACTACCTATAATGAATTTTACAGTCTACCAGCCAATGTTGGCATCGTTGCAACAAAGGGTATCTCTTGGAGATATCTTAACAGCTGCTGGCCAAGGTCAACCCACCACACTGGGTTTTTTTGTTCATTTTTATATTTCCATTTACTTTCTGTTTCAGAATTACTACCTATAATGAATTTTACAGTCTACCGGCCAATGTTGGCATCGTTGCAATGCAACAAAGGGATTAAGAAGGCCGGTCTGTCTGTCTTACCGTCTTTAGTTAAGCAGGAACGTAACAACTTCAAGAATTACTTAATTCTAGTCTAAGACATGAGATCACCAAACTCTAGTCAAGCTGAAGAGTAAGAATGCAAACTGGGAAAAGGAGATTGGGGATTTGCCAAGGAAAGCTAGTGAAGAGGCAGAAGCTGCCAAATCTTTGTCTTTGCTTGAAGCAAAAATGTATGAATTAATAAAATTCACTAGAACGAGTCCAAATCTTCAAATATCCAAGCTAAATAGTTTCAGATAATTTAGTCATTGGATCTACAACATGAATGGATTATGAATGAGAATGTTTCAAATGGATGAAATCCAATTTATGAACGTTTTGATATTCGTGGAGACTAGACGGAGGCCAGCTGTGACTTGCAGAAGTGTCTGTCTAGTCTTTTAGGAGCAGCTCATGTTTTAGTCTATTCTCTCTTGACCAGCAAATGGTGAAGAAAGTTGCTGGGGCCAGTTCTGAACCTCCATCCCTACTATCTTAAAATGTTCTTCAATCAAGTAATTAATCAGGAATGACAGAGTCGTTATTCATAAGTTTCTATCCTTGTGTTTGTGAATTCAGCTGAGCATCTCCAGCTGCATGCTGTTACTATAAGACACTGATGGAGTTTTCAAACAAAGATTGGTGTCAAGGAGAGCAGGCATTGGTGTCTGCCCATATGGAGGTTTCTGGTTTATCCCTGCTAATTTGCACCCTGGTTTATTCCTGTAGGGTGCATTAGGACCTGCCGGGCCACCTGGACCAGCTGTAAGTACCTCCTAGACCTGCATATGTGAAGATGGTGTGTAATATTATGCCAAAACCATCACCAAGACAAGACGGGAAGCCTTGTATCCCAAACAAAGGGATCAAAGCCTGACTGAGTGAGAAAATATTGTTTGAAGTGTTTAAATACATGTGTGTGACCTGTTCTGGTAACACAGGGCCTGTTCTCAGTCTCCGAGATGTTAAAAGTCAGCTTGGGATAAAGACCAGCATATCAAATGCTATCAAAATTATTAGACATTAGATAATGTCTAATAAAAATTAAAAGAAAAAAGAAGAAAAGTAGATAAACTAGAATGTCGTCTTCATAAATGTCTGTGTCCCACTATCACGTCACTGTATGTGGCTTTACTTAGAGATGTCTCGTAGGTAACAGTGATGTAAAGGGAATACAAGTTATTAGAGGCAACAAAAGGATTGATTAAGACTCCAGCTCTGCTCTGATTGCAGCTTACAATAACGGGACAGGGGAGTGCTAAGGAAACTTAAAAGAAAAAAAAAATTAAGAAGCATTTTCTGAGGTTTGCTTTTTTCCCTGTATATTCAGTTTGTAAGTGATCTCTTACTGTTTTTAATGTTGTTTCCAGGGCAAAGGACTACCAGGACCTCCAGTAAGTAATGAGGCTCTTTTTCGAAAAAGAGGTTTAAATTATTATACTAGCTTTATTGGATACCTTCCGTGTTACAAACCCACCCCAGGCCTTGGGTCCCTCTCCTGTGCCGGGTGGAGGGATGCGGAGTCCTGCAGGTCGGCAGCCTTGTGGGGTTTTTTATGCTTACCTTACCCCCAGGGAAGCTGGCATAAGCTTACCTTCTACCCCAGGGAAGCGGTGTAAATTCAAGGCACAGCAGCCTTCTAATCGCTGGAAGCGACCAATTCTGGGACAGCTTTTGTTTGGTGGTTTCTCGGAGCTGCTCTGTGTCAGAGGGGATGCAGATATGGGCAACATGCGATGATGACGAGAGCACGCTCCGTGGGAAGGTGGAGCAAAAAGAAAGATGTGCATTGGTAAACTGATTGTCTGGGTGCAGGACTGGGCTCCTCGGAGGGGTTAGACAAATGAGTACAGCCAGACTGTTTGTTTGCCCCGGGCTTTGGCAGCTATGTCAGGTTGCCATGGGTATAAGGATCTTCTCTCTGTTCAACAGGGCCCTCCAGGACCCAGTGGGCTCCCAGGTGGAAATGGATTTCGGGGCCCTCCTGTGAGTTTTTCCTACCATCTGATTCTCATTTACCGAACATGCCACAACCACAGAAGAATGAGGTTCATTTCTGGTCTCTTACCCCATTCTGGAAGCGTGATGCACAAGCCACTACAAGCTCTACAAATGCCCCCGGGCAATGCTTTTCCTTGAATCAGCTTGTGTAGGGTCACCCCAGTCAACCAGTGCAATCCAAAGGTGTGCAACTGCTTGCAGCCATGTTTTCCTTTACCAACTATGGGTAAGGACAAAAAAGCAGCCAGTGTCGCCAGAACAGAGATTAGTTACCAGCTGGTGTGTACTTTCAGCATCCTCAAAAGAAGCTACTGCACAGAATGGGTCTGATCTGAGGGAGCACGTTCTGCAGAAGCATGCCATCATTTTTGGGTGCCCACAGCTCCACTGGAGAGGTACAGAGCCGGTGGAAGCAGGGATGGAGGTGCAGGGATATGTTCTTCTGTCCTAATCCCTATACTTCCATATGCATCTGCTCTTCTCTTTGCAGTCATAGAAGCCTCTGCAGAAAGAAAGGTGCAGTTTAGTCCCATTAGGGATATCTTGCCCCACATTCACAAATATGCAATGGCACTTGGTAGCCACCCTTCCTTTCACCTTTCATTTTCATTTAAATGATTAAGAATGGGAATTCTTACTATTTTTCACTCTTTTTAGGGACCTTTTGGTCTGCCAGGATTTCCAGGGCCTCCTGGACCACCCGGACCTCCTGTAAGTTGAGGCTTGCAAATAAACGTGAGAAAATTCCCATGGGGAGTCCAGAATTTTCTTCTTGCTGCCAAAACGTGCACATTTGTTTTGCTGCCATTGCCTTGAGCGCTCCTTTTCCGGGCTAAGTTTCAGCAGGCCGTAAACGCTGTGCCCCAAGGAAAGCAGTGACTTTTCACTGGCTGCACTTTGGTGCGTTGATTATCTCCTGTTTATTGTCTGTGCTGTGTGGGTGGAGGAACCCAGTGACATCCAGGCTTTATGGCACAGACAGGTCGCAGGGTGGGTTTTCTGTTCTCTCAAGGTTTATATGGTTGCTCGGATCACGATGTGTTCTTGTAGGGCCAGCGAGGGGGGCTTGAAACCAGCAAGTGTCTGTTTTGGGTTTGCTGCGGTATCTCTGGAGGGTTGGAGGGATAGGGAGGTCTTTCCCAAGGAACTTCCCCGGCCCGAAGGAGGGCCAGGCATAGCTGCTCTTCTCAAATTGCTGCCTTTGTCACCTAAGGCCCAAGGCTCTTCCCCAAGCTCATCTGTGCCTCTCCAGAAGATAATTACAGCCCTGACATGTCTGTTTTGAGGACTGGTGCTGCTCATAACGCTCTGGGTTCAGGGGCTGCGTTTTACGCTGTGGGGCTGGGTATCTGCCTCGTGCTGATCCAACTGAGCTGGGTCTGTAAAGTGCGTTTTCTAGAAACTGTATTTCCTCCTGGTGTTTGTCTTGATGTATTTAAAAGACCACATTTCATGAATTGCAGGGTCTTCCAGGCACCCTTCCCGATGGCGGTGGGGACCTTCAGGTAGGTTTTTCTTTATGTAGCGTGAAAATATTGTTTGGTTTAATCCTTGATGTGACTTTTTGTTGGCATGCTTGGGTGACTGTCAAATCTTTTAACGTGCACCGTTCAGACCTGCAGACATGGGTCTAAACTGCCGTATTGCAGAATGCATAAGTGTCGCGTGTGTATTTACAAGACTGAAATATTCTTTCAAGGAGGTAGATAAGCTAGTGCTGATTTTTTCCTCGATCTTTGCTTTCCAGTTTGCTTTCCAAAATGCAGGTTGTGCATACATTCTTCATTTACAAAACAACTTCAGCATTTGGTAAATGACAACAGCTTTTCATGCATCTGTTTCCAATCCTGCTTTGCAAGAGAAAAGGTCGTGCGTGTTGCACTGTTTATTTCCACGGATGGTGGCACCGGGTTCCTATGGGCATATGCTTTGTTTAGACCTACTTCCTTATGAGAAAGTCTTGATTCCTGCCTTTCAAGGGAATGAAAGGAGTGTTAAGTCCATGAACGATGGAAGTGACATTTCCAGATTTCACAGCTGTTGTTGTGACAGCGTCTTTGGTTTTCTAATTGGCGTGCCCCAAAAAAGCTCAGAGTCAGTTTAGACTGCCTTATGGCAAGTCACGTGGAAGTTAGTAGAAAATGATGCTATTTCTGCAGTTTTAATTTAAGTTACCCTATGGAATATACTAGAAAATTAAATTGCTGCTACAGAGGTGTAGCCTGAGGTTTTATTAAGAGAAAAAAAAATAAAAATGAAAGAAAAGCTGCAGATGAAAGTCTCCTTCCCTATTTATAGTTTTTAGAGTATGGCCTTTTAAGCCCCATTAAATTTCCATGCACGTTCTGATTTGTTCCCAGTCAAACTAGAGTTCCCACCAGGGGCTCACCCACCCCTAGACACCTGCAGATACCAGCTTATTGATATTTGGGTTAATTTGTTATAGGTCCCCTTCTGATAAACTCTAATGCTTGTCCTTGTTTCAGTTAGGTGAGTTGTCTAATGGAAATCAATAGGGGTCAATGAATGCATAGAATTAAATATGTTCCTAATGATTGACAAGATACCCATTCAGCTTCACCGGGGAACTGTGGTTCTCCACTATTTTGGACTGTGGACCACTGTCAGCCTTCAGAATTTTTCACAGTCCATGCAGGCATGCTCCAAGTGAAGCAGACCATTCATAAATCATTTTGTGGGTTACTGGGGGCCCGAGGACCTCTTTAGCACCTCCTGCCATAGGGAAACGCCGGTGAATACATTATGGTATGAACGAATTAGATTTAGTAGGTTTAGAGCCAAAACCCACATGACCTTTTCTCTTCTCCCTAGTAATGAAACCAGCTTCCCTGGATGCGCTGTGTGTACTTGGCAAACCAAAGAGTGTTTCTGTTTCTTGCAGTGCCCTGCTCTGTGCCCACCGGGTCCTCCGGGTCCCCCAGGAATGCCAGGGTTCAAGGTAAGAAAAACACCACCTGCAGATACAAGGGTCTGTCTCCCAAAATAAATACCCCCATGAACCCCTGGCATTAAACTGTTTTATATACAGCACACGTCCCCTGTAGGCTCCACACCTCTCCAAACCAGCCATGCATTTGCCTGGGTTTACGCTGTCGAAACAGAAAACCCCTGATACAGCCAAATATGAGACAAGAGGAGGATGAAGGACCTCATCCTGCCCCCTACATGCTGTTCCCGCACTCGTAGCAATAGCTGCTCTGCCACTGAACTCAGTCCTGCAAAGGGTGTAAGCATCCTCCCTTCACCTTCAGCCAGGGGCTTTGCGTCCTTCAAGTAACTGCCTGCGCTTACGGGCACGTTGCTTTGTGGCTTCGTCCCTTGCAGGATTGCAACCTTTGTCGGATGGAAGATTTAATTACTGATTTTTGACTACGGCCATTTATTCCTACAAATGAAATTTAACCCTTTGCATAGGGTGAGCAGAAAGGTTAAAACACCATGCAAGCCTTGCGAGGTGCAACTGATGAACAGGAGCGAGCAGAGCGCAGCGGTTCAGAGCTGCCTCAGGAACGATGTGCTGCCTTTTCAGACTTCGGAGAGATGTAAAAATCTCCCTGTACACACAGATACACACATTTTACTGTAGCAAAACATAACTTACACGATTAAATACAATTTAGTTGTCATTTTCTACCCAGTGTAGCACCAGGCAGCTTTCTGTTTATATTGTTTGATTCTGGTACACAAATTTTAGGTTGCAACCCTCAGTAAATCTCACTCCGCAGTTAAACATCTCCTTCTCTGTCCCCTCTATGATTCACACGAATTCTGTGCAGTACGTTACACTCCAGCAGTGAGCTGAAGTAATAAGTTACTCGAGGTTTTTTTTTAGCAGGATTTAGCAGAAGTTGGCAATGGGTGGAACATCTCCTGGGAAATGCTCTCAATTCCTCTTGAACTGACCTTTTGCAGGTCCGTTTGATCTCTGAGCTGAGTCATAAATATCGTTAGAAATACACAGTGTTTAGGGTATAACTATTCAAAATTCCTAGCTTATGAAATGCAAAACCTGTGAAGGTCTCCAATTATGATGCAAATGATGCACAGGACCTTTTGCGTGGTGAGGAATAACATCTGCCACGGCTGAAATTAGTCTGGGTCTCTCCCACAATAATAGGAAGGGAGCCAAAAAGCAAATTGAATCTGAGTTTATATAAAAGATTTCAGTGGGACGTGGATTTCTTTGCAAGCTGGATGATGCAGACGTTAAAGATGACTTAAACAAAAAGGGAGGTTAAAGATCCAGAATGGGGTTTTCAGAAGCGGCTCAGCCCCATTTTCAGAAGTGATGGGAACTGAGTTCTGGTCCCTGACCTGTGATTGAGAATTGCATCGGGAGACCTGTAGCCTGGTCTCACTGCAAGGCACTCTTGAAAACCAAATCTGGGCATTTCCTGAAACTGTAGATGAATTCTGACACAATGATACCTAATACAGGAATGGTGCATGGCTAATTAACCCCAGAAGTGACCTCCATTCACACAGCTACAGCACAAGTGTAGATTATTTTCCCAGTAAGTTGTTTGTGTTGTGTGGGTTTAGGTCTTACATTTATCTCACGAAATTTAAATTTTGAAACAAGACTGTACTGGAATGTGAATAATTGGAGCTCTTATTTCTAGGGACACACCGGTCACAAAGGAGAACCTGGTGAAATAGGAAAAGAAGGAGAAAAGGTAAACTTCAATTTAAGGGGGGTAGGGGAGGATTTTTCTCTTTAAAAGCACCGTAACAAATAGTTTCTTCAAGAAGACAGGGAGAAATGAGGCAGTTGGCTGAACAAGGAGAAGTTACTATGACTGAAGTGCATTGGCTTCCGTTGCTCTGCATGTCTGACTGTGTGCTAATACTTCAAGAAAATTCCTCTTCCCAATAATCATAATGTTAAGATCAGTTCGATAAGTTAACACCTATTGTTTCACGTGCAGGGATGTCAGCTCAGGAAAAAAGTCCTGCATTAATCACTCGGGTAAATTCCTGACTGATGAAGTGTTCTTGCACGTAGAAGAAGTTGCCTATAAAGTAGAAGCAAATTCTGAAGCATAAATCTGAGTGGGAGGGAGCTCAAGGAGAAATAAGATGGGAGGGTCCCTGGCCTCGGGTTGGCAGGCTCGTGCTGTCTCACCCTTTGTCTAATTATTTTTTCTCTCCCAGGGCAACCCTGGCCCTCCCGGTCCTCCGGGCATTCCCGGCAGCGTTGGCCTGCAGGTAACACCTCCTCTTCAGACCGGTTCCCGTGACCTTTTTACTGTGAAACTCAATGGTGCCATCAATCATTTTGTGTTACACAAACAGCTCTTGCCTCTGCATAATAACAGATGTAGAAGTTGATGCTGGTAAAAAAAACCAAATCACGCTGGTTTCACTGAGCTTTGATTCAGGTCCTGCTTTTGGTACCTCACCTTGGATGAGACGTCCAAGTGATAGCCACTGTCTTGCTGGTACTCCAGCAGAGCCCTGGACACCTTTTGGGAGGATCTGAGGCTGAGCTCTGGGCTGGCTTGACAGTCTGGCAGGTGGGCTGGGGAGAGCGGGCACTCTGAACGCACGTCTGCACGGGATGTCTCCTCTATCGCTTGCTCAGAGGTCGTCACCAAAGGGGAAAATGTCTTGTTTGTGCATCAGAAGGCTGAGCCTTCTGCCGCTCTTCACTGTTTCTTAATGTTTTCTGTGTTGATGAGTTGCTACATCATGCTGTTCTGCCATTTTATGTTTAACAGCGATTGGGTTTTAAGTGATTTGTTTGCTTAATTAGGGCCCAAGAGGACTAAGAGGCCTCCCTGGTCCAATGGGTCCGGCCGGCGACAGAGTAAGAAAAACCTTCTTCTGATTTCCCCCCCCTGCCCCTCCACCACCAGTTTTTCTCACGCAAGGTCCAGGTGGCATTTGTCCTTACTGAAGACCTTGTAAAGATGCAAAGTGCAGGCTCTTTCCTGCACCCCCCCCCAAAGCAGAACAACCTTCCAAAGGCAAGAGGAGCCTACAGACATGAGGGATTGACAGGATCAGGCCCAGTGTTGATTTAAGCATTCAGACCAGAAGGACAAAGTTCTGTCCCTGCAGGACTGACAATGCTAAAGAATCTTGCAAAAAACCTGAGAAACGTTTCATGAACATTTCACTTTCCGTTCTGTCTCTTTACAAGAAAAAGCTAAAGAAACACTGGTGGACAAAGATTTTCAGGACATGAAAAGTCTGCTCAGTGAGAACAGGGTCAATCTCTAGCTCATCGTGGCTTTGGACTTTTGCCAAGGTCCCTTGATCATTGACCTAGAGGCTTGAATGGTTTTGAATTTGATAAAGTCACGCATTTATTTAGGAACAAGCGTGTTATCAAGATATTGAGGCCATGAATGATATCAGCGTATCATGGAGATAATGGTGGGGACATCCAGAGTAAAAACCTGCTTGTTCAGAGGGGGATCTTTTGCAAGACTGTATTACAAGCTAGCAAGAACTATGGGGTATCTTTCCAGGGCTTTGTGTGTTTTCTTAAATTGCGGTATAAGGTGGGGATACGGTTACTTCACCCTCTGCCAACCACAGCATTACAACGATGTATTATTCTTTGCAGGGTGACATTGGTTTCAGAGGGCCACCTGGAATCCCAGGACCTCCAGGGAAAGCTGTATGTATCTACTTCTCAGCATCTCTGTGGCCCTGCCTTCCACAACCAAAGCCTAAAGTTTATCCCTCCCGCACTAAACTCTTTGCTGCCAGTGAACAGGAGGAGTGTGCTGCCCATCTCCATCAGATTATCCCCTTTGCCTTTTTCCCTCCAGTTAAAGCAATGTTATTTCACCTGACCCAGATCTCGTGATGTCTTTCCCGCAGTCGTGCCCCGTGCCAGAATAAGTTCACCACATTTCCATTGCTCTCTCTTCTTCACTGCTCTTCCCTGAGCATCGGCTGCTGTGAGCAAGCACTTGAGAGGGGTTAATCTGTGTTGTTCTTGGGAAGGAGAGTTTTGGGGAAGAATCAGTAGGTGCTATCCTGAGCTTACATCCTTTGAGCCTGGTCTATTCCTGAGTGCCCACAGCTCACAAGGACTTTTGCTATAAGCAGAAATAGTTGTGTATCAAAGATGCAGTCCTCATCCTTTTGCAGAGCTCTGGGGTGAAGTGTAGGAGAACACAGAACCTGCACGCTTACCTGTGGGCAGACCCCCGTACCCTCCTTACTGTGCCCAAATATGAGACCAGAGCTGCATCTGCAGCATTATGGCCTCTCTAAGAGCATTTTCCACTGGCCTGCCACCCAGTCTCTCCTTAGTCTGGATAATGTGACATCCACTTTACAGCAGACACCTTCGCCTGTCTACGTCAGCCAACACACCACAATCTGCATTGACCCCGAGGCAGTACCACCCTCTGGGGAGCCCTCCCTAGTCTTTGCAATTATAGAAGAAATTCATCTGAACTAAAATAAAATTAGGTGTTTACTGTCCTCCAAACATTTAATTACGCCAAGCAGGACAGTAAATATTAAAGTTTTTCTCCTACTCTGTTTCTGATTAAAGAAAATGCTTCATTAAATGACGGGGAAGATGGTCTCTGCCCCGATGGATTGTTGGCAAAGTCCCTGCTGCCGTTCATCTGTGTCAGGAATTACCGAGTGTAACTGAGAAAGTCCAGCCGAGCTCTTAGGGGAATGTGCACGCTCACGCCTCTGCTAACGCCAGCCAACAGCACAAAAAAACCTTCATCATTTACACCCCTGAAGCATTAGTCTTTGTCACTGTGTGATGAAGATGCTTAATGGCTTTTCCTCCTCTGTCATAGGGAGACCAAGGAAACAAAGGACCTCAAGGATTCAGGGGGCCCAAAGGCGACACTGTAAGTGGAGGAAAACACCCGTCTGCTCAAATTTTGGACGTGGCATTCAAAGGAGTCTGTTTGACAGGCTTGTCCCCACCTTGGTTTATTTGGAAGGGAGGTGAACAGGATGAAAGTATTCGTCTCAAAAATGAGATGTTTAAAGCTTATTAAAGATGCCTAAGTAATAAGATGCCTAAGTGCTTCTTACAGCCTAGAGCACAGGGATCAGATCTTGCATCTCCATCCCTTGAAATGATCAAGAATTTTCCCAGATGCTGCAGCCAGCATTAGATCAGCTTTCTGGTGTGTCCTAAAAGAGCCCCCATACCTATATGAACAGGACAGGAGCCAGCACAGACTGAATGAAATGTCCCCACAGAGTTTGAGTATTATTTTTGTTGACTGATTATTTTTGTTGACTGATTGTTCTTAAGGGTTGTGTCCTGGATAACGCAGGATTTATTGTTGATTTCTAGGGTAGACCTGGACCAAAAGGAAACCCAGGGGCTCGTGGACTCATAGGAGAACCTGTAAGTCAATTAAATAGGATGCAGGTCTCACTGTTGTCTTGCTTGCAGATGATGAGATAAAACGCGACAGGAAAAAACTTGCATCTTACAGTCTTTGCTATCAAACTTCTGCTCTGTGGGTCTCTGTAACCTTCAATGTAATCCCAGTTGGACTAAACCCTAGTTGTACTGCTGTTAATGAAAAATCTCCCTGTACAACTGGAGCTGGACCCATTGCCAAAAGGTTCTTCGATGTGAATGTATTTTGCAAACCGCAGAGTCTCCTCATAACCTTAACCTGCGTTGTGCGCGGTTGCAGGGCATGCCTGGCAAGGATGGACGGGATGGAGCTCCTGGACTCGATGGTGAGAAGGTTTGTAAAGTCCTACTTAAACACCGCAGGAAAGATTTCTGTTAGTGTCCCATGTGTGTTGCAAAGCTGCTGATGCTTGTCAAGAAAGAGCATGGCTGGAAAGCCTTTGCTTCCAAAGAGTTCTCCGATAGCGTAATTAGTGAAGAAAAGTGAAGCTACTTCTATTAATTAATCCTATAGGAAATTCCCTAAAGAAAGAAGATGCACATATGGGCCGTGCACATATGATCTAAACTCAGCTGTGTCCTTATACTTAGTGGTTCCTTTTGGCTGACTCCAGGCCTTCAGAGATGCCTTTTCAGAGCTGTCGACAGACGCATCCGTTTATTTTAATTGCCTGTAGACAAAGTGCTGTCAGGTACTAGTTGCCTGGTTTTTGAACGGTGATCCCGCAGGAACATGGACCGCGTGCTGCCAAGGAAGGCTGGGAGCTGCAAGGGGACTAGGGAGACACCTGGGAGCTCTGGGCACCCCGTTTCTAGTGGGTGCCCACCTCCTGTAGGCACAACAGGCTCTGGGTCCCGCGCGTGTAGGGAGGGAGAAGATTACAAATACCTGTTTGGGAATGTGTCCCCTACCTGTGTCAGACCATTTTCCAGTAGCAGAGGGTCTCTCCTAACCTCTCGGTATCCACAGGGTGATGCAGCTCCCATGGGTGCTCCTGGAGAGAAGGGGCCGAACGGACTCCCTGTGAGTATGGCAGCAGGACCCGTCACCTTCGGGGCGGTACAGCAGCTTGGCCTGGGTACAGAGATCATTCCTGGGGAGAGGGGGGGGGGTTCATTTTGTGCGTTGTCTCACAGGGGGCCCCATTTAAGCCAAAAGGAAACGCACTTTTCCCACCATACAAACAGGGGAGCAGTGTACAAGACAGAATGGAAAACATCTGGAGTAGCACCAAATACTAATAGAGTAATACCCTGGCTTTTGGCCACTCTGGCTCCATTTAAAATTTAAATTTGAGAGGGATTTTCTCTTTCACATCCCAGTGACGTGCATCCCTTATGCAGGGAGGAAAGTTCTGGGATACAAATGACCGTAATTCAACAATAGCCTGAGCTCTGTTCCTGGCTTACTAGTGTTCATTGGCAAAATGTTTCATCTTTCCAGTCTTCCAACTATTTAAATAGAGGTAAAGTATTCCTTTCTTCCTGTCTTACAGAATGTTTTGAACATCCCTGGAGAGAGGTTTCTGCTGTGTAAAATGTTGCTGCTGCTGTTCTATTTGTATATTCCTCCTCTTTGCTCTAATTGTCAAGGATTAGCGTACGTAGAGCTGCTAGTGCAGTGAACAAGGGGGAAATTGAAGCCATAATTTTCATGGTGAAAGCTGCAGAAATGTAAATCCTCCATTGCTTCAAGCAAGCATTGCTTCTTGTATGTCAAAGCAGACCAGAATAACAAATTAACTCCACTTCTTCCGACGTTGCTTTAATTTATTTTTTTTTTTTTTTCCCCAGGGACTGCCTGGAAGAGCAGGTAGTAAAGGCTCAAAGGGTGAACCAGTAAGTGAATCTCTCTAATGATGGGTTCTGGTGCGGAAGCTACTAAACTTGTCACGGCAAGGCTCTTCAGCTTTTGGGGACTGGTGCCCACAAGTAGACCCTGGGAGGACTTACCCCGAAGTGATGGTGTCAGTGTTCCTCCCAGGGCGGGGTTCCCCTGGCAGTGCGGAGCAGGCATTAGGTGCAACAACTGAGATGGCCCTGCTCTTGCTGAGACAGCTCTTGCACCTGGTCCAGCGAAGACATAGCAGATACACAGGAGAGTCGTCAGTAGTTTAGTAAACCTCAGAAGGAAGCATTGCCCCTTTTGTCGAAGTCCCGAGAGCCGGCTTCATCTTTGGGAATCAAAAGGCTGAGCATCTGCAAGCAGGAGCAGGATTATCTCATCGTTCCTTTTGGAGACTTCACCCCCACCTCAGGAGGAGAGCTTCCATGGAGCTTTAGATTGGCACCTACGTGTGAGATAAAAGAAAATCTCAGACAGACCAAAGCAGTCTAGCACAAAGCTGTTCTGGAAAGCGTCTTTTTTTCTGTCCCTCCCCTTCATTTCTGGATTGCCCCCCCTGCACCTGCATCATTATTCTTGTTAATCCTCATGCATGAGATAGCACTGCAGGAAGACGCTTCTCCTTGCATCAAGGTGACGCAGAAATGGATGAAATGGGGTGTCCTGAGCACGCCTCCAAAAGAGCATCCCTGTCTCATTCAGTCCGAGATGGGATATGGTGGCACTGCCCTGAGGCTGGCAGCCCTCCCTAGTCACTGGGCCCAGGACAGGACGTACAGCTCATCTGTTCTTTAAATGTCCGTTCTTCAGAGTTTTCTCTTCTTGGTCTTAAAACTGTAAAAGTTTAAAGCTGTTTTTATTTCCTGACCCAGGTTTTAACTCCCTCCTCTGTTTGTTGCTCTAGGTAGGCCAGAAACGACCCTCTGAAGTTATGCCCTAACCGAGTGTTTGCTTTCTCCTCTGCAGGGCAGCCCTGGAGAGATGGGAGAGGCAGGTCCCTCTGGAGAGCCAGGCATCCCTGTACGTATCCCCATCATTTACACTTAGCATGAGCTCTGCCGGCTGTTTTAAACCAAGCTGCGAAGCTGGCGCCCGCGTGCTGCTTCCCCGCACAAATAGAGCTTTTAGTAATGCGATAGGTGCTGTGCTGCCTGCAAGGCATGCAAGCCCACCGTGATGAACGCTCCCAGGCGGCCCCACGCTTGCGTGGAGCTACCCAGCGAGCGTGATGCGAGCCGAGCGGGTGGGCACCTCCGTGCACAGATACTGTGCTGCAGCGGAGATCAAAGCCCACCGAGGCAGGCGGTGTGACGGCAGCGGGGCAGGGAGTTTGGGATTGAAATAGCCTGGGATCCAGGAATACATTCCAGCTCTGCGGTGGATCGGGAAGGGTGGATTCGTGGTTCCTAAATGGCATGGCTGACTTTGGTGTTCTTGCCAGGGCGATGTTGGTATTCCTGGTGAGAGAGGTCTGCTGGGACCCAGAGGAGCAACTGTAAGTACAACGCTGCTTGTAAATCAAATAGATACCAAAATCGAGTTCAGTACCTGGGAATTACTCTTTGGATAAAATAAAAGGCCACATTCTCTCTTGGTATTGTCTCTGGGGAGTTTTGGCAGCAGAGGAATTACTCCCCCATAAGTGGGTCAGATCCTGCTCTCACTGACAGCTCTGTGGAAATGCGAAGTGATTCATCCCGTTTTGTTTGGCAAAGAAAGCTGCAGTTGTCCAAGAGGTTTGTGGAGCTGCTACAGTCACAGGAGACTGGACAAGTGATTCATCCCGTTTTGTTTGGCAAAGAAAGCTGCAGTTGTCCAAGAGGTTTGTGGAGCTGCTACAGTCACACAGGAGAGACTGGACAGTCAGCAATTCCCCGATTAGGCAGCAGTAATAAGGTTCAGCTTGTGCTGACTGTGCGTCATTAATGAAGCAAAACTCCTGTTAAGCTGTTGCAACGTACATTGCCAGCAGCACGTGAAACATGAAATCCTTCCCATTCCTGTATCGCTTTCCTTGGAGCAGTAGAGGTTCACCGCAAAACCTGAAGCCGTACAAAGCAGCAAAACTGGAAAAGCCTGCACGCTGTCACGGTGAATGACAGGGGCTTGAAAAGTGTTAAAAAGTCTGTAGACCTGTTGGGAATCTCTTGCCTTTCTTGCACATAGTTGCATGCTTTTCCCGACTGCTTGAAAATGCCCCGAAGTTCACAACCGTACGGTGGGTGCAACACCAGAACAGTTTTCGGGTGGGGATTCCCTTCACACATTTCCTTCTCCCACCTAGTACTGCAGCAGCATTTATCTCGCTGGGAGCTCGTAGGTGCGAGCCCCCAGGAAACAAAACCCCATACGCAGCTCTAGCAGTTTTCACTTTTACTCTTGTGAACTGACAACTTTTTGAAACTTCTGGGTGAGAAACCACTGAGGTCCTCAATGGAGCATCTTGTTCCTGCTTTCGTTGCATTCCCTGCATCGTCTCAGAGCCTGAGAAAGCTGCAGGAGTTGCAATGCAAACCTGAAAATAACTGCATGGCTGCCTGTTGCGTTCCTGCTGAACAGCAGAGATAATAAATGATACCAGGATGATAAAAACCTGATTTTGGTCACACTACTAAAAATGCTAGGATACCTTTTATTTTGTCACTCTCCAGCTAGAGCTGCCATTGTGGTTGGACCTGACCTTCCAGTGGTTTTGTTGGGCTTTTTTTCTTTTCTTTTTCCCCCCCCCTCTTGATCTCAGTTTGAAATCCAGAAGCCTACAGCAAGTCTAACGTGATTTCTGGTGTGTGCCACTTGGAAGAAATTGAACTGTATGATTTATTGCTTGTGAGCAGCTGCTCTTTAAACTTCCAAGGAGAGGGAAATCAGCCTTAGAAATAATGTTTACTTTTATGTCTGCAATTTTTCATCAAAATAGCTGGCCCCACAAAAGGTATCGTGTCATTATAGCTAAAAATCAAATGCAGTAGAGCTAATTGCATTGGTGCAGACTTCTGCCGTGGATGCAATAGCAGATGAACCCGCGTTTATTTCTAATCTGGGTTTCTGATTTCTGATTTGTGTTGTTAGAGTCCTAATTTATATGAAATGTAGTTCAACCTGGGCTATTCTAAGAGAGTTGCAGGATTCATCTACTGTTGAGACTGTTTGGCTCAAAACAATTTGACTTTATTTATCATAGCACACCACGGGTTTCTTCCCATTCGGAGGCTGTCAGGTTCTCTCAGGTCCCACCACTTTCAAAGGCACCCGCACAGCAGCGTCATTTTTGGTGCAATTTAATGTAACTTTCCTACAGCTCTGTATTCGTAACTCTCAAAGTTCCTCGCTGAATTACAAGCAGAAAACAGAAGTGGAAACAGTAACCACAATACCTGAGTTCTCTAGCTTTTTGAAGATGCTGCTGCTCTGTTTCAGCAGATGGGCTCCTTCTTCTGGGCAGACCCTGGTTTCTGCACAAGGTTACGGCCATGCTGATCTTGAGAGCCAGGCAGGGGTAAGGGCGACTGGTTTAGATCGTACCTTGAGTCACGCATCTCACGAGGATTTCCTCTTCGTGATGACCAGAAAAAGTTATGAGAGACAGTGGATTTTCAGATACCAGGGAGAATTTGTAGGGCTAACACTTAGGGAAAAAATACAGATGCCATTTTAAGGCAGGTTAAACGCTGGTTTCTTGGGTACGTTGGACAGTCCGTGCTGACTGATCTTCTGCCTGCGGCGGCCAGTTTGAAGTTTATTTGTGTCCCTTAACGCTACACCCAGCAGAGATGGCTGTAAAGGAGACAAAGCTGAAGTCCACCTTGTGACAGAAGTTTGCCTAAGGCATCTATTTCAAGAAGACACTTTACAAAATGGGATTTAGATGCCTAAATTACTTCGGGGGTTTTTTGCCCGAGATCTTTATCGCATATGTGATTTTTCTCAGTGGAAAGCAATAGAGAGTCCTAATGGTAATGTTCATGTTCTGTCTAGTGAGCCGGGCTCTTAAAAGCATCTGCACTAACAGCATGAGACTGCCTTTTTCTATATTGCAGGTACAAAGTGTGTCAAAGCAAGTGGATGCAATTGCCATTTTTCATGTAGTGAAAAAACAGTAGTTTCTTGTAGAACTGGATCAATTAAAAGCATAATATTGGGATAGCAAATCCCCTTTAATGTATATTGTTTATGCTCTATCATGCTACCACTTTGCTGTCATTGATCTTTACTATTCCTGAGTATGGTATGTCATTAAGCATTAATATCTACAAATAAGCATTAATATATATACAAATAAGCACTTTTGCTAATAACAACAATATTAATAAAGCTCAGTAACCACCAAGCACCGCTTTACAGCGGCTCATCAGGTTCATCAGCAATGCCACTGGGCAAAGTGTTCTGCAGTACAGACCTGCAAGCTCGCTCTCTGTTAGACGTGAGCCAATTTAATTACACAAGTGACTTACCTGGCCCTGAATTTTCTCCTTACCGAAGCTTATCTTTCTCTTTTCAGGGCCCACTTGGTCTTCAAGGCCCGATGGGAGCCCCCGGTGTCAGAGGTTTCCAGGTCGGTATGCTGACAAGGGTAACGTAATGTGCACCGTGTTTTGGCAGGCCACTGTTTTCTGCAAACCTCTAGCGAGACAATTGCATGATGGCAACAAGCGATAGGAAGAAACGCCTTTCCCTTTGCCAGAACCAGTCTGACACCTTTATTAACACAGTACGATAGAAAGAGGACAAGGCCAGATAAGCTGCCTGCTGGAACAATTTCTACTTAGTGTTTGTTTGCGAAAGAAGGGTTTGAGTTTGAACTACGTAAAGACACCTTAATTTCTCCTCGATCTGGACGCTCCCAGCCTGCGCGTCTTCAGTGAACCCCTCCCTTCTGCTGCACTGGGGACGCTCATATTTCTTCCTCCCCTCTCCAAAGGAGTGTTCACAACCGCTCTCCATTCCCCAGTGAAACTGGCTGAAAACCAGTGTAGGGTGCTACCTTCTGGGACCGTCACTCGATCGGGAGCCACAGATGTGATTTTATTAGCGGAAGACCTGGGCCAGCCAAAGGCTGGAGCACTTTGGCAGTGTGGCTGACCTCAGGTGTGAAACGTGGTGGGGCAGAAGTTGGAATCAGCGGTACCGACCAACGTGAGTGGTACCAGCAGTCAGCATGCGGTCCCTAGGTCCTGGGGGGAAAAGGAGAGAGGAAATCGTAAGACAAATGACCTTTCTGAACATCTTATGGAGACTGGTGAACTCTGGGGATGTGAAGATACGCAGGGTTTCCTGACACTTTAAGCTGTAGCTCTTTCTTTTTTGTTTTCCGAACAGGGTCCCAAAGGTGCCAGTGGGGAGCCTGGCCTTCCTGGTCCTACTGGAATTCGTGGAGAGCTAGGTGACAGGGTAAGGAGACGAGTATTAGTCTGTAACTAATTCCTGTTTGGGAGGTGTGAAATTAGAGCGTAGTGGGGCCCCCCAACACGGTGTAGCTGATGTCACCCCAGCAAACACAAGCAGGCTTGGTAGAAGGTGGGTACGCTGGGTGTCGCAGTCCATCCTCTGTGCTGCTGCGTGCCCAAGACGGACCCTACAGCAGGTAGCAGGATTCGTGCAACCTCTCTCTTTTCTGTTCCTGTCCTTGTTTCTGCTTCAGTTCAGAAACTCACGCTATTTTTAGATAGGATGGATTGTTTAAAAGAGACTTTGGGATCCTATCCTAGCCAAAATAGACGATTGTTAGGGTTTTTTCCCTGCTCTGTATGCTGATTTCACCAAAGCCTTGCTCCCCATGAGCCCAGGAGAGCTGATTTGCGCATTGCTGTTATTCAGATGCTTGATTAGGGTCTCTGGATTTTCTTAAATTACAGTTTGCTCAGTGATTTTCTTTCTGAACAGCAACACACCTGGGCCCCACACCTTGGAATAAATGCAACTTTTTATTTAAATGAATTCATTCTCATTTAAAAGAAGCCAGCAGGGTAAAGTGAACGATATTTGTTCAGGGCTTGCAGGAGAACAGTAGCCATGTGTTCGCCGGCTCCCTCAACTCCAGCTTTAAGGTGAAGTTTCTGTGTAAGCGATCGCAGCGGCACCACGGGGGTTTCACAATGGCTCTTCTGTGCCAGCTCCAGGCAGGTTTAAAAAAGCCTCTTGGAGGGACTGCGAGCCTGGAAGTGTGAAACAGGAGGGTTATTGTGGAGCCGTGGGGTCCTGACTGCATTCAGGGCTTCGCTGCGGTGAGAAGATGTATGTTCAGAGTGGAAGAGGCCCCTGCACAGAGCAGCCTGGTATCCAGAGAGCTGCTCCGAGCAGAGGGAGAGGAAATTTTATACTTACAGCAAAAAAAAAAACAACCCAACCAAACCCCAAAAAACTAGGTTATTTCTGGTCCAGAGAGCTGCTCCGAGCAGAGGGAGAGGAAATTTTATACTTACAGCAAAAAAAAAAACCTAACCAAACCCCAAAAAACTAGGTTTTATTTCTGGCTCTGGAGCTAAGTGTAGTTACTCTTAAGACGTAATTGTTGGTTGTTTCTTAACACCCCAGCTCGTTAAGAGCTTTCCCCAGGAAAGCATGCTGTAGCAGGTTTGGATAACTCTGGAGACTTTCCACCTCCACGTATGCGGCTGGTACTCGGAGTAACTTCCATCTGCCCACCCAGTCCCTCCGGTGTCGGTGACAGCCACCTGTGCCCACAGTCCTCCTCCGTGCGGGCAGCAACGAGGGCTGTGCCAGCCATCGGCACTGCCAATTTCCACGCTTATTACTGGGCACGAGATTTGGGCTGGGAAGGCCCTAAAACCTCAGAACCGCGTCTTTATAGCTTAAACAAGCAGCCTTTGCTGCTGAGGGTGATGGCATCTGCTGGGGGGTGGACGAAGAGCGCAGCAGATACTGCCCTGGGTTTGCTTTACCGACGACCCAGCCTGCTGGTCCTGACATGTATAAAGAGGAGAACTGCAAATACAGGATCAACACAATTCCACCGTCCCAGCTGCAGCTAACCCATCACGCTCTCTTGAAATCAATTGTGGCTTTTTTCCTTTGGGGGGGAAAAAAATAAAAATCAAATCCTGCAAGCCTGAGTTAACAGGTACTGATATGCTTTTTCACAGTCCTTGGATTGACTGTGGCCAGGAATATAAACCAGCATATCCGTAAGTGTATTTTCTGGCACGAAAAACACAAGAGGTCTAGTGCGTTTGACTGTAAGATGTAAAGTAGCATTGAGATGATATATAAACCGTCTTGTTGGAGTGGGATATTGGGGAGGGGAAGGATTTGACTGTTACTGCTGACTGAGGTAGCAATAGGCAAATATTTTTCCTAAGGATTTTTATTATGATCAAATTCCTGAGGATTCTGGGTGCCGGCAGCCATCTGGGGCAATGTCTCTCTCAGCTCCATGCTGGCATCACCAGATGCTTGGCCAAAAATGTTGGTTGTGTTTAACTGATAGGGTGACACAAACGTGAGGGCGGCCGGTGGACGTGGAGCTGGTGGTCCTAAAGTCCCGTCACTTGTTCCTGCTGCTAGGAATTACTACTGCTGTAAATTACAGTTTTGAATCAAAAACTTTTGGGCTAAGCTTTTCTTTAAGGGAGTGTTCCTCGTAGGGCACGGTCTTTGGTGACTAAGCTGTGTTTTATTGCCATAAACTTTCGTGGAGCTTGGGAGTCTGAAGTCGGAGGTATAAATCTAGATGATAATGTTCAGAAAAGAATATACCGCCTTTGCCATCGGCAAACGTAAAATGGGAGTTATAAATAGCTGTAGCCATTCTTGCATTTCCACATTCCATTCCATTGTCCGTTTTGCTGAGAATTATTTTTTCTTTAATAGAAATCCCCCCTTTTTTAACTTATTCAGTGCTTGCCTTGAGCAAAATGGCATGCCCTTGTTCTATATGTTTGTCCTCCTCCAAGATTCTGTTCTGCTGAGCCATCTCCAGATCTACTTATTAAAACAAGATCACTTTGCAGATGCCAGATTGATGAATGTGCTGTAGAAATCCTGTTAGAAGGGTAAAATGGTTGAATTTCCCATGTAGATTTTGCAGTAGAGAAAAAGATCTGGGGTTCTCCTGAACTCCCGGTTGGCTCTGCTGTATGGACCCAAAGTCACGGATAGGGCTGGAAATGTCTCATGTCCTCTCTGTGAATGCCAGGTAGATAAAGTTGGAAGGATATTTCAAGTTGCCTGAATTATTCCTAGGGTGATAATCAGTTCATCATCTGAATGTATTTTATTCCTGTGGCCGTGTTGTTCTGTGAATCTCAAAGTCAGGAGCACCTAACTCTAAATCCCCAGGAAAACTGACAGTCTAATAAAGCCTTGAAAAACCATCCTGACTTTTTGCCCTTGTGGTACAAAAATGTTCTTGTCCATTTTATACCATGAGTAACTTCAGCCTCCTTCTCACATCTTCAGGTGTGAAAGGCAGAGATCAATCGCCCACCAGTCTCATCCTGGACCTCGTCATTTCATTTCTGAATTTGTAAAATTGCTGTTTCGGTCATGATAGTGAGGTGGCAATAATGAAAAGCAGAGGGGCAGAAGCAAAACAGAGTTCCTGCCCCTGGGATGGATGTGAAAGATGACTTTTGTGAAACGGGTTTTAAAGACTAGGATTAAAAGCACGGTATTCATTTTAGTTTTATTTAGGAAATTGAGGAGGATGGTATGAAAAAGGCCAGTGTAGGTAACCTGTGCCAGGCAGGTGGGGAGCAGTGCATCGCCGAGCCGCGTCCAAAAAGTCTCTCTGGTCTGGTTGGATGAGGACTCGGTGGGCAGAAGACCACCAGGCCTGAGCTGGGAGGTCCTGCCTGGTCTGGCAGTTGCTCTGCGCTGTCGCTGGCATGGCAAGAGGCCTGAGAAACTGTCCTACAGCACAAGCCGGTGACTGTAGAGGGTGCTGCGAAGCTAGCAAGGACGCTTAAAATCTCTTCTTATTTCTAAGAAGTATGAATGAGATTTGGACCCTCCTACCTGGCAGTTGGGAGACGAATTCCCAACCCCTTGCTGAGTGAGCGAATGTCTGACCGCACCAGGGAGTCACAGGAAAATAACAGTTTGAGCTCATTTGCCTTCTTTCTTTTACTTATTCTCAGGGTCCTACTGGTGTTCCTGGTCCCAAAGGTAACCAGGTAAGTGATAACTTTCACGCTGTAGTCAGCAGAGGCATTTAGTCCGTACTTTAGGCGCAGCCTTTGACAGCACAAACTGCTTTTCCTCCCTCAAGCGAAAATATTCTGGAGCGGGCACCAACAAAACCCTCTTTGGTCCCGTTTTTCCTGTGTTGGCGAAAGAGATATAGTCTGTTCTAATGGAGACACAAGAAAATGCTGCGATAAAAATGCTAGGCTCTTGCTGTGTATTTTGTAACCACGAGGCATGCTGTATATGAGCTCCTCACATCGTATTCCTCCCGAGTTAAGTTTAGAAGCGCAGCTTTTCACTGAACTTCATGTGCCTGATGAAGAGGATTTGTCCTAGCCTCAAAGCTGGGCACGCGAATAGGCTAATTTAGTCTTTTACTTTTTGCTGCTTAACTTCCATAGTTGGATTAATCTCAGCGATGAGCTTTTGAGCCAGTTTTCATCAAATATATGACTTTCATTAATACATGAGACTGTTTTTGCAGAAGACGAGTGCTTTTCCAGCAAGCGTCGCTTGTTTTCTTTACCAGTGTCAGTGCGGTCTCTGTTTTGTTGCTAAGGGAAAGACCAACCTAATCTCCGTTTGTCTTGAAATAACTTCCTCTCTAAAGCCACAGAGTCACCATAACAATGTTCATTATCTGCTCTAATTGCCGTGTAATAAGCCAGCTCTGCCGCAGAGCATTTGGCGTGGGGAGCGCTGCCCGTGCGGCCGGTGGCAGCAGATTGCGGCAGATTGCAGCGATTCGCGTCGCCCCCCGCGACGCTCGAATTGCACACGCTGCTGTTGGCTTGATGGAGGCGATCAGCCCATTGATGCCGCTTGTCATGGCTGGTGAAGCTTTAGCCACTCTTACGTTACGGTCCCCAGACAGGGCGGAGAGGGATGGGCCTCACCAAGTGATGGATCACTTCTGTTTGAGGGTGGGATGAAGCCGTTCTGCAGATGGCTCTTTCTGCTAGAGGACACAGTTACGCTGGACACCGAACGTTTAGCCGTCGTTGCAAACCCACGTTTTCTGTGAGACCCAGAGCTGGGGAACCTGAAGTTTAGATTCCCTGTACGAGGAACGCCAGTGCCAGCCTGTGGATGTCTTTCATGGCCACCCCTTCAGGGCTCTCATCTCTATGAATTCAGCCTTTCATCCAAGTACCAGCTTGTTGCAAAGGGCACCTAGTCCTTGTGCAAGCTGCCTTGCACCACGAGTGCCATTGTCAGCAGGGGAACAGCTGCTGTAGAGCTCAGCTTTGGGAAGAGAGAACTTCCTCTTGCTGGAGCAGCTGTATAAGCTGCTAAGTGCCCCCATCTCCCTTAGGAGCTGAGGTTGTCCAGGTCTCAGAGTGAGCCTTATTGTCAATAATCTTTGTGCTCCAATAGGTGCAGCGCTAATTCTGGTGTATCACTTTCAGGGCATTGCTGGAGCAGATGGCCTCCCAGGTGACAAAGGAGAACTGGTAGGTGTCCTTAAATTTAGTAGAATTGACTCCTCAAATAACAGACGGGTCTAGAGAACCATGTATCGAGAACTAATATGGTCGGTCAGAATTAACCGTCCAAGAGCTCCAACCCTGCTGGCTGCGAAAAGGAGAAGGCAACCCAAGCCTTTCTGCCACCGTATTCAGGTGGCACCAGCTCTCCTCTTGTCTTCAGGAAGCACCGGATAGCCAGTGTGGCCTTTGCAGAGCTGTGGCGTATCAGCACTCTTGTCGTTGTGCTACTCGGAGCGGTGGACGCTGCTCTGTCCACGGGGCGTTTGGTCCATCTCAAGAAGTAGCCAGGTTGCCTGGACCTGCGTTCACCATTGGTACCCGGGGCAAGTCTTGGCGTCAGAGTCCTCTCCCTGTTGTGCCAGGGCTGAATCTGGTCTCCAGCACCCTGTTATCACTCCTGGCCCCTTTGCTAGAAAAGCCCATTAGGTGCCGTGTACATGTCATTGCGGCTTCCCGGAGCTCGGGAGATTTGACTTTAGATGCGCATTTTCTGAACGGATCATTCTTTCTGATTTCCCTTTTCTTTCTAACAGGGTCCCTTTGGTCCCCCCGGCCAAAAAGGAGAGGTATGTGTCAGCCATTGCAGGCTCGTGCCCTGAAAGGTTTGGGAGTAAACATGCTTATCGCATCTTTTGATGATGTATCTCCATAAACTATGTCCTGGCGTTGATTCCTAGAAGCGTGTTTTTGTCACGGCCACGCCGTAAAATCTATGAAAATGACAATTTTCTGTGGCATTCAAAACATTCAAATGTGTGTGAGCATTTTGCTGCAGCATGGACTTCTACTATCATGACCTATATATGTAAAAGCACCCGTACGATGTAAGAAATGTACTTGGTCAGCCAGATCAGTTAGGGAAACCTGAAGAAAGGCTTAACTAATCCCCGTGAGAAAAGAACGGACCATGTCTTCTGTTTTAAGTGGGGTTGGTTTCTCTTTTTTCTTCTTCTTCATTACAGTCAGGAAAAAGAGGAGAACTTGGTCCAAAAGGTGTCCAAGGACCTAACGGGACAGCTGGAGTACCAGGGATCCCAGGACATCCAGGGCCCATGGGCCATCAGGGGGAGCAAGGCGTTCCTGGCATCACGGGAAAACCTGGGCCTCCTGTAAGTATTACCCGCTTCTGGGGCGCGGTCAAGGCATCTCTGAAGTGAATAAATGGATCGTGGATTTTGGATGCATGTTCAAAAAATAAGGTCCTGCATTTGAGCGGGCAACAGTAGGTCACTGTCCATGCAAGCTAACAGTCTTGCAGCAAGAGTTCACCAGTGCAAAAAGATGAAGAATTTGCAGGCTTCAGAATGACAGTCGCCCAGAATGCATGCCTTGGAGAACTGATTTTCTCTCACAATGATACACGGACGGATTATCTGCGTCCATTGGGACGGGCTGTAAGTCACTGTTCTCATTACAAAAGTGAGTTAGAAGTCGGTCATTTAAAAATACAACTCCTATTCACGACTTCAAATGTTAGACCTCTGTCTTGGTCCAGAGCTCGTTTCATCATTCAGGAAAGGCCAAATAAGCCCCAGATTAAATATCTGGCCTAACATTAAAATTAATCTCTGCCAGTAGTATGACAGAGCTTCTGAACTGAAGCCGTCATCTTTTGAAGGGGGGAAAAAACCCGCTCCTCTTCAGTGCTTCTTACTGAGCTGCTGGAAGTGTGTTTCGTGTCCTGAAGCTTCTGTCAGGGATGATTATTGATAACGTGGTTTGTATAAGGACAGATTCTTCTGTTAATTGCAGGGCAAAGAGGCCAGTGAACAACATATAAGAGAACTCTGTGGGGAAATGATAAATGGTGAGTATTGCTGAGAGAAAACTGACTGTAATTGCCGTATTTAGCTGAAGATGAGTAGATCCTGAACATAAGATGGCTCCTGAGATTTGTTATTTTTCTGTCTTAATAAGAAAAAAAATGTTGACCTTTAACGTAAGGAAATTGTTCAGGAGGTCACCTTGTTGTCTGGGATGTCTTTCACTTTTCGAAGATTAGTATTTTTAAACGATTCATCATGGCAACATACAAAGCGTGCTGAAAGCAGCTTTGACACAAGTACCGCACACGCACGCTGGCGGGCACCGGCTGGTAAGTGTCTGCCCCAACCTGCGCCATTCTGAACCGCGGCTCCCACCTCCTCTCCCCGCCGCGGCACACCCCATCCCCCCGGAGCAGGGCTCCGGGCAGGGGCCAGCTCCCGGGGAAGTCGTCTTCTTTCTTTCAAGTTACTGTTCTGCATTTAGAGGTTGTGTTCGCCATTTGGGATGAAGTTAAACTCTGAAAGCTTGTTTCAGAAAACTTGTTTTAAGTGTAATTTTCTAGAATACTTGACATCTTTTAAAGTGGTTTAGGAAACGGGAAGTATCAATGGCTTAAAAACCTGCAGATTTCTGACCAAAATCTCCCTCTGTGGAGATTTAAGAAAATAAAAAGCCACAGATGAGCTGGGAGGACAGATGCAATGTTTAGTTTCCTTCTGACAGAAGCAGTAAGTGTGTAGGAGTGGCCGGGAGCAGGATCTGCCCAAGCATGCAGCTCTGCTTTACTGTCAGACACGCAGTTTTCAGCTGCTCGCTCCGTTAAGCACACTTGGCGGCAGACGACAAACAGCCAAGCAAAGAGTGGAAATGTTGGACATGCAGTTTTCAATTGTTCCTTTCAGATCAAATTGCACAGTTAGCTGCTAATCTGAGAAAGCCCTTGTCTCCTGGAATGACGGGTCGTCCTGGCCCAGCTGGTCCCCCAGGTCCTCCGGGAGCAACGGGAAGTGTTGGGCACCCTGGTCCTCGCGGTCCCCCTGGATACAGAGGGCCAACAGGAGAACTTGGTGATCCTGGTCCCAGAGGTAAGCGAGACTAAACCAACCAGCTTCTCTTTCATGCCCACTGAAATAAATTGCAAACTTGTACTAATTTCAGCAGTGGAGGAGAAAAGATCAGGCCTTGGGCAGCCGACGGAGTTCTAGAGGGCAGTTTTGCATCGTTAGGGATGCAGTGTAAGCAGAGACCCTAGCAGCGTCCTGAGGGTTTTGAGTTTCTTGGTCTTTCCCCTTCCTCGTCCTTGGATCCAGCTGCAGTACACAACTCACTGTTGAAATTGTCTATTTACGATTAAAGGTGACACTGGCGAAAAGGGAGATAAAGGACCTGTTGGTCAAGGTATCGATGGGCCTGACGGCGATCAAGGACTTCAAGGTAAGGCTGTGCAAATCGTTTAATAAACCGCGACTAAAGTAAAGGCTTAAGAGGGACAGCTCTGCACATTGGTGGCCGTACGTTACCATCACTTTGTCCCTGTAATCGTTACAGCAGGGTGGTTTTCCTGTGGGCACAGCAGGTGCAGTTTGAACAGCAGAACTTAATTAGCACATCCCCTCTTCACACCACTCCTGCTGCGTCCTAAATGTTTTGGAGTATGTTTTTGAGAAGAGGCTGCTGGGACAGCCAGACTCTTCATTTGTTCTTGGTTTCTTCCACTAACGGCTGTGAAAAGCCAGGAGCTTTTATAGATTGGGAAGTCAGAACCCTTCTGAACTACTCCCACGTGGTTGCTGTTTTCAGAGGTGCTTCATATGCAGTAACTAACTAGTTAATTAACAAGTAGTGTATCAGTTCATTTAAAGGTGTGTAACAACAACTGTGAGGTGCCGGCTCCAGACTAAGGCAAAAGGATCGTGCCTGCTGCCCATCTCCCGATGGACACGTGTCTTTTTGATGCTCTGCTTAAAGAATGCCCGCAGTGAAAGCTACAGCCCGGGCTGCCAGCTATAGTCCTCCAACATTCAGTCCATGTTTCTGGATGAAACGAGAGAAATCGGGGACCATATTTAATTCTACCAGAAACAAACATAGCTTCCTAGTGTAATGATTTTGAGAGAGCGGTGTTATTGCTCTGTACCTGGTTATAAACCCAGTTCCTGAAGTCATGAATCCTTTATCAGAGGATTCAAAGATTAATTTATGCAAATTAATGAATATCTATTAGAAACTCAGAAGACTATTCTTTATTTTGCTCGCCTATTAAAGCAGCTTTTCTAATTGTGATTACATCTGCACAATGACTAAGTTACAGGCACCAAAAGCAGGCTCTGCATCCATACAACTTCATAAAACCAGAATATTTATACCCAGTTGTCTTAGATTCTTCCATAAAATAATTGCATTAATCCATAAATCTTTTCTTTTCCAAAGCGTGTAAAAAGAGGCTATGTTTAACATATTAGATATTGAGAGCATTTGTCCCGCTCGTGAAACGTCAGGAGATCAACAGCAGATGCAACTCATCGCTTACATGAATAGAAAGAATCAGGCACCGTCTCTCTGTCACAATTAAGACAGGAATGCAGGTTTATAGACCACCTGATATAGCTGTCCCCCAGGGAGACAGGATCGTATTTTACAGTATTTATTCAGTAGCTTGCCCTTACAGAAATTAGTGTTCCGTAAATTATGTTTGGCATCTGAAGGAAAAGAGAAATAAAAAAAATAATAGCTTGAGTTTACCCAAAGCAGAAATTATTTTTGCCAATAAACAAAATATGTATTTCATCGTGAGCAAATTTTTGAACTTAGACACGGGTATAAAGGAAACTCCTGACCTGTAATCTCAGGGAGATGCTCTGTACCACCATTCTCTCTACTCTCCTTCCCTTATTCAGAACCTTAATTACAAGTAGACTTTGGGAGGTGCAATGAACTGCAGCAGCTGAAGGCCCCCCCTAAGGAGCAAGCTGGGGGCCAGGAAGGAGGGACGGGTGTATATTGTCACAATAAGTAAGCTGTGAGCTCACACATCCAGGATATCCCCTGAGCAAACTATTCGGGGACGATGTAAAATCATTCCGGTTACAAATTCCTTGTTATTATACACTAACGGAGGCGGTACTGAGACAGAGTCCAGTTCCGCAGCGGTCAGCAAAAGTCAAAACAGACGCATGCAGTAACGAAGGCGCAATACTAAACATCCGCCTTCAACTACACCGAGGTAATTCCAGTAAATCCAAAGGTACTCTAAAAAATCCAACGCACATACTCCAGATTCAGGCTAAATTTATTCAACACCCTGTACTCAACAGGCCGTAACAAGCCTGATGTACAGACACTCAAATTATTTCAAGAACTCTAAAAGTAACGCAGATATATACACCTATGTTTAAAAAAAAGAAAAAAAGGGAAGGAAATAATTCATGTAATCTTTGTCCCCTTCTTGTTTAGGCCCACCTGGTGTACCTGGAATTACTAAAAATGGTCGCGATGGTGCTCAGGGTGAACCCGGTCTTCCAGGGGATCCTGGTACTCCTGGTGCTATTGGGGCTCAGGGAACTCCAGGAATATGTGACACGTCGGCTTGCATGGGAGCTGTTGGAGCATCAACGTCCAAAAAATCATAAAACAACAGTACAAGAAGTGGAGAAGTGACTGAATATTTAAATAAAGAGTGCATTGTAAGAAAACAGACAGAATCCTCCTAGTGATAAATGGACAGATGTTCCTTCTATTATATTAAGCGGAGACTTTGCCACAGTTCTATGAAAAAGCATCAGATGAAAACCTTTAATTAAAAGATGCTTTATGAGTATTTTCTCCTCCCCCCGATTATTTTCCAGAATTTTTACTGCTAAACAACCTCACCTTCCCGTTCTCCCCTTGTTCAAGAGACCTGCAAGAGGAAGCATTGTTCCTTTTTACCACCCCCCCCAACCCTGTACTAAAGGCCACTTTTCTGTATAAACGTTTCGGCCTCGTCAGTCGAATTCCTTGGTGCCGCTCCCACTGCCCCGTTAGTGCACAAACCTGCGGACGAGACACGTTGTTGAGGCGTTCGGGCACCTGACTGCCACTTGCATCAGTGGAAATCAGGCATTTAAATATCCCATATTTTACTACCTTAAGATTCCGGCCTAAGTAAAGACCATAGCTGATGTATATGCTGTCAATTACCAATTTTCAGATTGCACCTCAAATATTTGCCAAGACTAGTAAATAGTAATCCTCTCGCAATCAAATTCTGCAAAAGGTGTAATGTATATATTTTAATTTACAGGGGAGAATTTTTGTATCTTTCCATACGATAATAAAGGAAATTAAGTAACAGCATTTTCACGACCTCTACGTAAGCTATTTGCACAGTAATTGTGAATGAAACCCCACGTAAGAAAGGATGCTCTTCTAAAGTCCAGCCAGAAACACCTGTATGAACTGTTGTAAAAATAAAAGGAGATTTTTTTTTTAACCTTTTCTTTGTGATGTTGTAAGTGTCATTATACACATCAAATTAAGTCAGCTGAACTCCATTTTCCAGAAGTGGTTTTGCTAGGATTGTTTGGAAATAAATTGCTGCAACATTGTCCATATCCGTGATTTAAAACAGTATTTATTTCGGGAGACCTTTTTGTACTTTAAAACCTGCTAGCATCATCTATTTTAAAAAATAAATAAAACCACTCTCAGCTCACGAGCTATTCTATTTCTGCCCTATATGCTAAAGCTTATGAACAAAGGAGCCATATATTAATCTTTAAATATGAAAATAGTTTCTTCATTTAAATAATCTACTGTTTACAATATGCCACTCTTGGACTAAAGTAACAATACAAGAAACTGTTGGACAGTTGTGGGATAGACATTAAAAATAGTACTGTGTTTAAAAAAAAATGCTAACAGCGTTGTATTACTCTTCAGGGCCAAGTATGTTAAAATATGTATGGCAAATGTGAACTTCGTAATATCAGCACAGTTTAGAAACTATGCACTTAATTAACCAATATAGCCTTTAAATTTTTAATGGGAAAAACGGGCATTATAATATGGTAACTTTAATTTCTTTTTACACTTGAAGAGTACATTTGCATCTAGTCATTAAAATAACAGGACAGATTGATGTTCTGCAACTACTCCTAACTGTACTGGATCATCTTTAAAAAACAAACAAACAAACAAAAAAAAACCCCAAAGCAGAACCACAAACAGAAAAAGAACATATTTTTCTATAACTAAAGGGGAAAAATACTTAGCTGTCATGACATTTTCTGGTAGCTTCTGGTCCCAAAGCCCCTTTAACAGAGCACTGATTCCTATTGCTGCTAGTTAACTTTCATTTCCATTTTGAATAAAGAATGTTTTCTTTAAAGCTCTATTTATATATTTTTACAAGTTATATTTTGCAATTCATATTCAGCATGTAAACGGAGAAAATAAAATACAGTTTGGGCCACTGTTAGCCAGCCACGCTTGTCACACAGTTCGAGGCAGTCAGTTCAGACTACTTGGTCTCCATAGCCATGCGTGTTTTCCTGCACTGGACACGTTACAAACGAGTCTGCTCTTGCTATTTTTAGTCTCCTGCCTGTTTTACCACAGAACACAGTCTCAAATTCCTAAAAAAATGAAAATGCAAAAAAAATAAATAACAGTTATGTTTAATGTAGATATTTACCTGAGATGTATGTTGTTGTTTCACTAGTGTCTTGGAAAAAAAAAAATACCCCAACCCTTTAGTCGGAAGCGCTGAGGAGCCACACCAGTATCCTGACAAGCAGGTTTTCCTACACACACTCCATCTACTCTCTTAAGCTACTCAGCAGAGCCAGAATTACTCTGGGGCTGCAACTACCGGTGTGGTTGCGTGGGAGCTGCCTGTAGGGCATATAAGCCTTTACTACTCTCACCCACTTGGAGATAGTGTGGGCACGTAGCTGTGAATCCCATCACTTAACTACCAGTTCGCAAAAGCGAGCTAGAAGACACGCCATGAAACAAGCAGAAAATAGAGAAAATTAAGGAGGGGAGGGCGGGGAGGAATGACTGAAGAGGACCTTAATTCTACATTGTTGTCCAGACAGTATCATGCTCAGGAACCAGGCTAACTAAAAAAACCAAGAAATAAATTTTAAAATCTGATTTGAAAACCCTGACGGAGGACAGCCTATGATTTCCCACTACTGAACTGAAACTGTTGTGAGGACAGCTAATAAAAAACCAGCATTTTTAAAAAGAAGTTTCAATGATATAGAGGTCCTTCACAAACAGCATCAAGCAGAAGCATTCCATATACTTTTAGCTATGTTGTGATAGCTTTAAAACACTTCACATTTTTATCAAGAACAAAAACGAAATTAGATTTAAAACCTGTTTCAGAGAATCACCATGCCTTTCCTGGATGTACTTCAGAAACGCAGTTGTCCATTGTAAAGTTGTTGCCTTGTCAGTATCAACAGTACAGAATGGAACCAGAAGGTTCAGCTCATCGCAACAAATCCGGATCCTGCGCCTACAGGCAAACAGAAAAGGTTATCAACCGACGGGCGAGAAGGAAGGAAAGAAAGAAAAAAAGGAAGACCGCTCACACACGCGACAAGCCGTGGACTTTGGGGACTTCTTTTTGTTTGCTACAAGCTTTGTATTGTGTATTAGTCATGTTATACGCAAGTTACCCTATCTATAGAATTGGTTACATGGTTTGAAATCTCTCTTTTTGTTTGTTCATAGAGTAAAAAACCAACAAAGTCGACCACAGTGAAACATACGTGGTTTTTTCCCTCTAACAAACCCCAAACCCTCACCCCCCGCATTGCTTTTTCTTGTAGGTAAAACAAAGTACGTCAAATTTACATTTTACTCTGGACAATGACAGGAGTATTACAGTGTCAGTATCTTAGGCTTCAAAAAGTTTGTCTTGCCACTTCTCACAGAAATTACCTTCTGTCTCTCTCCATGCGGTTATGTCTCTCTCTTCGCTGAGCGATTCCGTCCTGTGTACCGCTTTGCACCTGCACACTTGCATTTGACTGTGCTGACTGCCAAGGACCCGCGGCAGATGCAGTGCCCTGGCTATCGTCACGCATATTTTGAATTTCACTAAGAGGTTTGCGATCTATGTTTGTATCCGATGGGCTTATTCGGCTGCAACTTCTTCTGGTTATCGCTTGCTTGCATAAGCTGTCTTCTTGGAAAAACAAAGAGGGAAAGAAGAACCTGTTTATAAACCTTCCCACTATTCACTGAAAGTTAAGATCATGGAAAAAATTTTTTTGCCGCTTTATTTACGTGGAATAACCTTTGAAGCTTTATTGCCAACCTAGATTGACTCTTGCAGCAACGCACGTCCTTCGGAAGCCCTAAGGCACTGCTTCCTGTTTCAAAATCCACCTAGCTTCTATTTTCGCAGAGAACCCATTGAGATCACGCCTGCCTTCTTTGACTAGCGTTTGAGGCAGTCCTTCAATTGTTCTTCAGTTTGATACCGACTGGATCTGCTATATCAACTTTGGGGTCAAAAAGTGTAGAAAGAAACCAGTTGCTTACTCTAGGCCCAGATTTTCAAAGGTACTTTGCAACCTTCGGTTTTCTCATTTCAAGCTAGAAGTGCTAAACAATTTTGAAAGTACAGCTAAAATCATAGGTGTTGATTTTTTTTGGAGAAATCTAGTCCCGTATTGCCTACGGCACATCTCAGACATAAACACCACACCTCGTATGATTCACGAAAATCATATTCATTCTAAAAAACACACAAATTCAGAAAAAGTTGTAGACTTGAAGGCCAAGAGAAAGCTGAGTGAAAAGACGATAAACGGTTTACCTCCAACTTTAATCCACACTTCCTCAGGCAAAGCTTTATTCATAGCACCTGCTGTCTGCTTTGTGGATTCAATTTCCTGATAGCAGAAAGAGAGTGTCTTGGGTATCCCGAGGTCTTGATGTTTGGCAGCTTCCAAAATAGCGCAAGACGTTCCAGAGGTCTGTGAAAACCAAAAAGGAAATACTTAGAGGACCATATACGTAAAAAAGAGACTATTTTGATACCTTCATGTTAACTTCTTAAGTTTTAGCCCCATGATTCAATGTGTTGTATCAGAATAAATCCCAATTACTTCCGCACACCACAACCATAGGATCTTAAAAGACGGCTGAATTTTTTGGGGATATTTCTGACATTTCTGAGTGCCACCCAAAAAGGAAATACTTAGAGGACCATATACGTAAAAAAGAGACTATTTTGATACCTTCATGTTAACTTCTTAAGTTTTAGCCCCATGATTCAATGTGTTGTATCAGAATAAATCCCAATTACTTCCGCACACCACAACCATAGGATCTTAAAAGACGGCTGAATTTTTGGGGGATATTTCTGACATTTCTGAGTGCCATGCTATGACTCTTGGTTACTGCAAGTTGGGGGAAAAAAAAAAATCTTTTTCATCAATTAGGAAAAAAAAGGAACCACAGCAAATGGTACTAAGTGTCTCTTTCTTGTCTTGCACAGATGAAGCAGATACACTGATAAACTCAAGACAAAAAGCCCTTCCAGTAAGAAATCTAACGGCCTATTGATCATCACCTGGATGCACGTTCTTACAAACGACATAACTGCCACACAGTCGGTTTGTGTGGCAAATTACTTTTGATGGTCTTAAAGATTAACATGAGAATAAATAAATGGCATTACAGCTCATCCTGATCATCCCTATTCAAACCAAGTCACACTTTAACACAAACCCTTAGAATTACACCACACCTAAGAGGTTAACATTATTAGCATTTGAAATTAGCAGAGTACAACTAGCGGTGAATACGTTCCCTACCTGTGCTTGGGAAGGATTAGCGCTTCCAGCAGTAGAACATGCGTTCATAGTAAATAACGGGTACGTGAACTGTAAAGCAGGCGTGGCGGGTGCAGTCTTATTTTTCCCTAATGCAGCACACTTGTTTTCTTGCTGATGAAGAGGAACACCTATCAGTTCTGACGGCTGTCGAATGAACGTTACTAAACTTAAAAAAAAAAAAAAACACAACAAAAAAAACAACACGGAAAAGATACCAGACTGACTACTTGAAAATGAGTGCAGAAAAATTTACAGCTACGCATACTTCTAGTAACTATCACCAAGAAACCACTTTCATTTACTGTAAACAGAAATCATTGTTACTGCCATATTGCCTACCTCAGGGTCAAAAAAAAAAAAAAAAAATCAGCTGAGAAGGTATTTTATTCTGTGCCGTAACAATTCAGCTTTATGCCTCAATAAAATGTTTTATCAGCACACTAATACAGTTACAGGGCCAGACTGTAAAACAGTGTTTTTCCTCCAAGTTTTCCCCGTAGTCAGGCTTCCACATTGTGACACTACTCAGTTGCTCTTAATACTTTATTATGATCAAAAATCTACTTTGCTTTTAGCAAGTTGCATGTTAAAACTAGGTCATGTTCTTCCCTCACCTTTATTTA